GTCAGTAATATATATATATATATATATATATATATATATATATATATATATGTATGTATCAATTCACTTTTTTAGGAATAGTAGCTTTTGTACCCCTGTACTTATTTCTTTTAAAAGCTAGTTTTCACATTCATCATATTTATGGGTGTTTTATGCTGCTATACAAGCAGATTTTTAAAAAGCCCACGCGCACAATATCGCCAGGCAAAAGCCATTCCAAAGTCTAACCTCTGTAGTTTTGTGGGAAAACTGCGTGGACACGCCTGGGGAAGGCCAAATATTTATGAGGAACTGGACTGATAAGGACAGCCTGGCATGCCTGTACGTTGACATTTGCAGATCAAGTACATTCACACTGGTGGCGTCGGGAGACTGCTTGATATGTCTGTTCCGCTTTCACTGCAGACAGTCTCAATGTGATTCATGACGAAAGCACAGTTATCTACACCAACTGCCTTAAATTGTGAAAGACAAACTGCTTGCTAACTGGGATGCCAGTAAGCGTTTGTGGCATGATACTTGTGTCGAGCATGTGGTGTCACGACTACAAATGTCTGCTATAGGCTACGTTTTAAAACTAAAAATAAGGCAATGTTTCGTCAGAACGATTACAGATCATGTGTCCAGAAACCAGAAAGAACGGTGAATTCTGAGAATCGAGACAGGAGACGAATTCACCGTGAGCATTTTTATTGTTGATCAGTTTATTCTAATTAATTCATGAGAGGAAAATAGGTAATAGCCACCCTTTAGGAAACGTCCTATTCTCCACACAATTTCATGAAACTGAGATATATGGTATGAAAAAATTAGCAGCTCGCGAATATGTAATGCCATAATACGTAAGATTGCCGAACAAGCAGCGAATCACTATTTTTACACCAGTTAGAAAGTTTTAAGGGTTATTTTACAAACGCCTTTTCATCTGATAAATGTAACGCAAGTATTCTGACAGGTTATGGCGTTTTTTCCCCTATTGAGGCCTTCATGTCCATGTTTCAAATCCTGACGCAGAAGGGTTGGGTTGCAGTCATGCACGACACAATGGACGTTGTTGACTCCGCCGCAGTGACCACAGGGGTAGCGATCTACTTTGTCTTCTATCATCTCTTTGTCACACTGGTTCGTCAGACCCTGACCTCACTCATCTATTGGCAATTTCCTTGTAATTCACCATCGACCAATTTCACTTTAGATTGTTCTCAGTCTCTTCGTTGCCGTGATTTTGGATAACCTTGAATTAGACGAAGATATTAAAAAACTAAAACAGGTACGTAAATGTAATTCGCAAACTTTATTTTGGGCTTTCTATTGCTGACAAATTTCATTCATTTCCTACGACGTCACATGCAGAAGGCATATTGAAAATAGTTGCAGGACATGCGATCAACTTGAATTAGCCTCTTCATAAATTGTATCTTGGCAAATTTCTGCAACAACGAGATCCCATAATGAGGCAGAAGCCTTTGCCTCCATCCATATCATTTTTCCTTGATCCAACTATCGACTGTACTGTTAAGTGGATTAAATTGGCTTGGGTTGAATTGTTAACTTAATTGATCTTTTGCCCACTTTTTCAAACCACGAAGCCCCACTGCATTGCATCCGGACATTTTGCCAGAAGTTTGATGGTCCGTGTGGTTATTTTGTTCATAACATCATTGTAAACTAAATAATAACATCTTTTGACCATATTTTATGAAACTATAGTAAATGGTTTACCTCGAACGTTATGAAGACGCTCTCAAAATATGTTCTTAATATGTTGGATAGTTAAAAATGCGTGAAATCAGCGCTGAAACACAGCAGAAGCTCCCACTTCGTCTGCGAATCTTTGAAAAGTTTCCGTAAGTTATTTTTTGCAATTTCATTCTACCTGGCAGATCCACCTATTTAAAACAGAAATTTTGGTGGAGTACGAAGTTACATGGTCTCCAGGATGCCTTTTGCATTATCGGACTTTGTAACTTAAACGTATATTATCACACACTTACGCACACACTTGGGGCGAATACCAGCACCTGAAAAGTATATTTTGACGATTTTGACGCGACCCCTGTCCCACTGTCCCCGTTTTGGCGGAGGGATGCTCGCGGGTCGAGGCTGCGGCCCCGAAAGGGTACTTGAAGCTGTTTCAATTGCGTCAGCTCCTAAAGTACGCTGGTGGTGATTTTCGCTTCAAGTGTGATTTTCAGGAAGCCACACAGAACCTCATTTTATTGTGACGCGATTGACAGTCCCATGAAAGCAAAATACGATAAATTTTTATCGGAATGGGGTCAATATGCCAAGCAAATTTATGATCCAAAAATCACTTTGGCCTTTACTACTGTAGAAACAATAAACCCTAAGACCAAGCACTATGAAAAAAATCAAATTAATTTATTATGTCCCAATCTAAATAAGCGGAATCTTTCATTATATTTTTAGTGTTAATTTCCTAGAACTACCTCTGGTTTTTTTCTAATATCAATCAGGATTGTATAAAAGTAGACTTTAATCCAAACCAGAATATTCTCGTCATCGAATTGACAAATATCTAGACTGCTAAAAGGACAATGCATAGAACACGAAATTAACAACCCACGTTCATTCAAGTCGAAGTGATATTCAATATTGATGCATACACCAAAATTGCTCATCTCGTGGTTGTTCTTACAAATAATCCAATACTAACATGGTTTTGCTAACTTGCAGAAATCGGCCCCAGATGGTAAAGTTGACGCGCTTGGTATCTGATTTTCTGCTACCAAAGATCCGGGACAGTTTTATGCGCCAGTTTGCAGCGGTTTCGGCTCTAGAAGAGGTGGAGGAAGAGGCCGTCTCTGAGATTCTAGCGGCAGCCACAACAATGGCTTCGATCTCCGCAAGTGCCGCCCTCATGCCCGGGGGTGCCGCAGCGGCATCGGCCGCAGCAGCGGCAGCAGGAGGAGGAAGCGGAGCCGGCGCTGTGAGCAAGTCAACTGGCCCAAATCACCAGGCTGCAGTCGGAGGTAGCGGCGGCGCAACTTCTGCCATTGGCAGATGGCGATCAAAGGCTGCCGAGACAAAAGCTGCCATCTCCTGTTCTCGCGAGATTCGTCGTAAAGTGCATGGTCTGCATGGAGAAGACAAGGTCAAGGCTATAGTCTATCTCCTAAGGTGAGAAAATATTTTGACTTGTCCAGTAATTATCCCATTATTCAGAAACAGCTGCTTACGCCTACCCGTTATTAGTTTTCTAGATGCCTGAATCATGCTTACCCAGTAAATACATTAGCCTGTTTGCGCTGACTGGTAAACTGTTCACTGTATCCTCAAGCATACGTAAGGATAATGTCAGCCAACTAAACAAATATTATTACACAGTGTCCTCTGCTTTATAGAATCCTGACTTTGCCATTATAGTCGCTACCATGGGTACATAAATTGCCGCATTAATAACCTATTTTGACAAAAACTCAAAAAGTCATCGGGTTAGTGAGCTCATCAACTCTATCTACACTGAAATCCCACCGTTTTGCAAGGAGCGCGCCAGTGCGGACAACTCAGGCTAGTGTAGTGATAGTTTAATGTCCCAAGCGAATCTTATTGATTTGCCGCCAGTGCCAGTGGAGCTCGATGATTGGTCGACAAACTCCAGTAGCAGCTGCAACCGCCTATCCCAGTGCGTGTCATCCCCAAAGCATCAACCCACCTGTACAAAAACAATTTACGTGTTTCCGGAGGCAAGATCATAAAAAAATTAAGTACGTTTAACCATGCCACAGTAATTTATGTGGATTAATGAACGATGCTACAGCATTAACTTCGTTTAACTGGATGTGATCATTTCTTTGTAAAATTACCGGACACGCGAAAGTTTGTCTGGCAAAGAAATTTGGAACTCATCACAAGCATTAACCTTGGTTTGAACGATTTGGAGATATAAGCTTATTTGGTCCTTTTAAATGTAAAGTGAAGCCAAATGGTGCCAAGTGTCAAACTGATGCTGTTGTTGGCATTTTCTTTAAAAACCTTATTTTTTTAATTAAAACTATTTTTTTCACAAAGTGAATCCAACAAAACGCGAATGCTTGGCATGGAGCAGCCACCGATTAACAGTGGACGTTCGCTTCTCTCAACTCAGCACCACATTCGACTGGAGAGAAGGTAGTTTCTTTAAACTACTTCACTTTGTGAGGGTCTTCCTCTGCGGCCAGTAACATCTAAACGAAGTCGGTATGCGGACTCTTCGGATAGGTGCTGGATAGCCAATTAGTAATATGTGCCACCCTGTGAAATGTGTTTAGTTCAAGTATAATTTCACAAAGACCCACTAAATATACCCGGAAGCATCAACCGCTTTTGACGGGACTACTGCTAACTATTAGTTGAACCACTGCACAACTTAAGTTGCGTCTCAGCAACACAAATTTTAGCTTTAAGTCCTAGATTAAATTGTGGTGTTTGATGTCACAAAAATACTGCCTCGGATAAAGTTGTTATTTGGGCTGTATGTTTTAATCCAAATATGATGTACTAAGGAAATTGCGATCGTCAAGTCTTTAATCTGCTATTCGACCACACAAAGAGCAGCCCAAAACTTTTCACAAATGCTGGGCTTTGTTCGTTTGGTCAGGTATACATGTTGGTTAGATCATTATGTGGGCCTTTTTGAAGTCACTAGTTCCACAGAATGAAAAATGCCCATACGTTATCTCGTAGTCTCCGCAGTGTTTCATAGTCAATGTATTGTTCAGTTCGAGCACATATCTCTTCCTGCTTGAGCTTGTAAATATCCTAATTATGGGCGTACATGTCCCAAAGGTATGCTTTTCGGCAAAACACAGTTGTAGTTGCACTCAAACAGGACTTTAATATGCGAAAAGAATGAGAAGATAAAATGTGCCTTGGTAAAAACATTAGTATACCTTTACTGTTTCACAAAACATAGAAAGAAAACAACAAAAAGATCAAACAGCTTGTGCATGGGATCGAATTGGGATACACTCCGATTAATGGCATGTGGGGGCACCTTCTAGTTTGATTTGTCTACGCCCATCCTCCTGATTCGCGCAAGTCTAACACCAAGCATCTACAATGTGTGTTACCTCTAAGTTGTTCGTGCACATGTTTCTTTGTTCCTATCCCACTAATTCTTAAAAACTCATGCAACCTCATTGTAATTGTCGGGGCTTGTTTAGCTTTACAAATACGAGAGTTGGTAAATGATTAGGGATCAGTCTTAATGCGCTCGACGTGGTGCGTACCGGCAGTTGATATTCCACAGGAACACATCTTTTTTTTAATTCATGGACTTTCATTGTCTAATTATGTGCTTGTTGAGTCTAGTGTACATGCTTTCACTTGTGTTTAAGTGAACTCTTTCTTGATGAATTGACAATCTTCGTATTTTTATGAGTATGCTTATTGTGTGACGGTTAAGAGAATGTTTGCCATTGAATTAAAGAGGTCTGAGAAATCGGTCCGGCGGTGCACTGGGCACAGCATTCTTGGGTCGCGATGGAACTCCCATGGCAAGCAGCATTGGTGGCTCTGCCGGTGGTGCTGCTGGACTGGGGGGCTTCAGCGTCAACATGGGCATCGGAGGTGACTCTTACGTCGTGGACTCACGTGGCGGACTTGACAGCACAGGACATTACGACATCAAGGTGCTCCAACAAAAGGCCCAACTGGCTGAAATTAAGAGGTACAGTGATGGGTAATTCTAAGGCAGTTAGGTTTTTAGGAAGAGAGTTTTGCACGAAAATCTCTGTCGGTTAAATGATGAAAATGACGAATCTTCTGTTCGATGGTTTTAACTTCATGTTCATTCGTCTCATCAGTACAGATCAAATTGTACAGGGCCAGTTATAAAGGACCAAAGATTTTTATATCATAATGCTTTGAGTTTGAGTGCTAAGTGTTGACAGTGCTCGAGCATGTTTTACAGAAAATAATGAAGTAGCAATTAAATGTCGAAGACCCGACTTGGCAGATTGTGGAACTTTAAACAACGGCACCAAGGATTCGAAAAGGCACTAGGTGGTTTTGGTCACACTCTATGACCACAATTGGCCAAAAAATTCAAATGATCTACATTGGTGAATTTGAAGGCAAATCAACGAGATAGCGGGGAATGTTTGACTGAATCAATACATGTGTTTCCAAACCGCGCGTCTGAGAGCGGTAGATGTCCTAAGGAAAAGTTATTGTCTCAATGTACTTTGCTGCACTGGCACTGAGACCAGAGTCGGCTCCATGACGAGGGGATTCTCGGCTTGGAGTTACACGAAAGGCATGGACCGGGGGCGTAATTGCCACAATTGTGTAAACTTGAGTTCTTCCAGTGGATGGCAAGGATTGTTTTACGGGCAGATATCTCGCAAAAATTTCACCCAGGATAGCGCCATAGTGTATCAAAGCCTGTTAAAATTTTGCGTAAGAGACTGCTAATAATCCTACATTACCAGCAACCTTCTGTTGCTTGATCAGCCGTTCGAAAGGGTCTAGAAGGTAAATCTAACATAGAGGTTTGTGACATTCAAACGAAGATATATTTTTGCTTAAAATGCTGCATCAGCCTCTGTGGTGCATTTGATTTTTCGGGCGACCTGCAGCTAAAGCATCAGATTTTCTTCACTAAAATTACTGGCGTAGAATGCATCATCGAAATGTGCGGGGTGAAATAGTGTCCGCGCAAATTTTTTTTAACCTTAGCAACACTCAATTACTCAAATTATTCGAATGTTGTTATAACCGCAGTTTAGGGCACAACCGCTGTGGCTTAAAGGGTCTACCCCCTTGTACTTAACTTCTTGGTTAAATTGCATTCAAGGGGAATATGTGTATAATCATCAATGAGCCTATCTTCATGCATTAAAATAATGCAAAACATTCGAATTGGTGCCAGATAATTGAGCATAAGGCCAACAAACCTGTAAAAAACGAATAGCCATTGTGGTCTGCCTGAGCACACCTTACACGAAGACACCGACTAAAACTACGAGAAGACGTTCTTGGATGTTTCTACGATCAATGAGTACCAACTGCACTACGATTCCATCACTGCTGTACTTTCTTTGTTCAAGTTACTGCCTTTGATTTGGAGCCCCACTTATTAACATGAATGTGCATTTTAATATCTTCTGTTCATTATTTTAAGTATGTTGTAATGTGAAAAGTTAAGATTTCCAATTTAAGAAGTTGATGTATTTCAAATAACGTAGATTGATTTGGAAAAAGGACTACGCGATAAAATCAAGGAAGGGATGTCACTTAAGTGCACGAAATTGGATTTTAAATACAGTATGTTTATTTTTGAAAATCTAACAGTACCTGTTTTAAATTTTCATCTTCTCTTCTACTTTCTGTTCCCAATATTATGCTTAGAACGCAACAGGAGGAGGAGTTGAGGGAAAATCATCCTCTCTTCGACCGTCCCCTTTTTACGCTTGGCAGGCAGAGTCGATTGAGGCGATTTTGCAGCCTCGTTGTCAGTGCAAGACATAAAACATCTCGCTCAATCGGTGCTAATGACAACAACACTGGAAGTATTCAGTAATGTATTTCGATTTATCCCTTTCTTTCGCGGTTTATTTTAGGTCCTTAAGGGGAATTTTTGTCAACACGTTTTTGTAGTCAGTGTGCGTAACTGATTACTTTCGGTGGTAGTTTTGAATGGCTTACACCCCAGCAGCTAGAGTGTGAGAAATGCTTAAGAAACCATTACAATTATTCAAAACAAAAGGATTTTTAAGTCGAATAATTGCATGTAAATGCGTCGGTTTAACTTTTTGAGTTCTTGCTTTTTACTGCATTAAATACGAGGTTGATGGCTCACACCTATGAGCTGCTAAATCGACATTTGGCTCGCTGCACCTAATTCAGGGTGTTTCATGTGCTAGGATATATTGAAGTCATGACTCTTTTGGGACCTTGTAGCAAGATTCTGGGCTTCATAACGTATCTTGACTGGTCAATGTTGACGATTACAATTCTCTCCTGTATCTCAATGTCGCTGGAAACACCCCATCGACGCCTCATGAATACACCACAGCTCCAGGTACGGTAGAGTATTTGCCTGACTTTGCCGTTCACTCAGAGGTCCATGTTCTACTCTCTCTCTCCTCTGTTAAGAATGGGTACTTGGTTGAAGAAACACATTTAACCTAATTAAATCAGAAATCGCTCACGGCTATCTGAATCTTTTTTGGTGCTGTAATCGATTTTAAAATTATTAATTGTGTTTATTTTGCATGTCTGTACAAAACTATGCAACAATAATGTACTTTCTCATTCCAGTGAGGTGCTTATTTCCCACAATTTGGAATCACCCTCTAAATAGGTAGAAATTGAAGTTGAAAAACACGACCTTAGAGTTCTAGCTTGCTAGTTCTAATCTAATGTTGCTATTTTGAATATTTTCATCTTGTTTCAGATTGGCGAGTACATTTTCTTTGTTGGCATGACAATCGAACTTGCACTAAAAATTTTAGCCGACGGATTTATTTTCACACCAAATGCTCTGCTACGCGACTTTGGTGGATTTTTGGACATATTTACCTACATCGTAAGCATCTTTACCGGTTTAATTCGATGCATTAGAGATGCTATGGGATTTTCACACTGAGCAAATATCTAAGCAACTTGAAATATCCCTCATTGCCCTGCCATCAGGTTGTTGCAGAAGCAATATACTTTTGACAAGATTTTTTGTTATTGTGAAGAAATCCAAGCTGAAGGAATTATTTACGTGAAAAAATAACTTTCGTTGAAGTTGGTATAAGTTTGCTGATGTGACATTCGGGGTCACAATAAGAGGCAGAATTATGACAGACCTTTCCCAAAACATGCGATAAAACGGTCATCACTTTTGCACTAGCCTTACAGTTGTAAGCGTGTCGACACTCAGGTTAGCTTCTGACCTAGGTGAGCGGGCAGCCAGGCAGGCGGTGGTGGCCTGCCTGTGGGGAAATTACCTGAGCCTACTACTTTTCGCTTTCTTTCTTCTCTTTCGATAATTCCCAGCACAATAAAATGGGGCTAAAAAAGACAGACACATGCATACATCTCACTTAGTCTTCAGAGCTCTTACTTTCCACTATGATAATGTAATTTCCATTACATTCGACCAAGACGCCTTTTCTGTGTGCCCTCGTCTAGGTTAGTCTGACTTTTGTGAGCTACCTGATGCGCGTAGAGAAGCTTGGACCCGGGTCCGTGGGCCAATTGTTCATGGTGCTGCGGTGTCTACGACCTCTGCGCATATTTTGCCTCGTTCCACAAATGCGACGTGTCGTCTACGAATTGGTTCGAGGGTTTAGAGAAATTCTAATGGTGTGTTTTCCCATCTGTTACATGAAACCCCCATTTGAATATTTAGTTCCTATATGTACTAGCAGTGCGTTATAGAATCCGTGGCGAATTTTTGTGCGTATTTAGGTCACAGTGCTCCTTGTTGTCTTCATCTTCATCTTCGCCGTCTACGGTGTGCACATGTTTGGAGGGCGCCTGGCCATATGCAATGACCGAACAATCACTCGTAAGGTGCGTGGTCATTTCTAATCACTAGCTCTCCTAAACAACTTTAACTTGCTTCAACAGACTAATTAGGTAGTCGTTCGTGTCTTTTAGACAGCAGGGTGGGTTAATTTGATTTGCAGGTAATTCTTTCAAAATGCGTCATCATTGGCCTCAAAAATGTCAGGTAAACTCGGTTTGAAAATTATTATTATTTTTTCTTACGATTTCATTCTTCCAGCAAAAAATATTTTTGAATCAGAGGTCCCAAAAGGAACGATGTACATGATTGCAGTCTTTTGTATTACAGGTACATTAAGTTACATATCATGTTTTATTGTTTTTATGCCATTTTCACAGTTTTATGTTGGGATTCACAACGATATTAGGTCAAGCCCTGGCAGCCTTTAGATCATGACTCATTGAGGAACATCATGCATCACGAAGTTTGGTTTCCGCCGACAGTGAACTTGTGGAGCATATAGTCGCCTTGTGCACCCTGTCCCAGCTGATGATTTGTATTTTGCTTATTTGCTTCTCAGGAGGACTGCAAAGGTGTTTTTCGTCGCGAATTGTCCGTTACAAGGATGAAGAGCTTCAAGGGACCCTCTCCAAAGTTCCTAGTGCCCCGCGTCTGGGCTAATCCACGCAACTTCAATTTCGACAATATTGGAAACGCGATTTTGGCTCTCTTTGAGGTGCTCTCTCTCGAGGGTTGGGTGGAGATAAGGGACGTGATCAAAGCTCGCATCGGTCCAGTGAGTCGGTATTTTAGCTCAAACCAATACCCCGTGTCCGAAATCATAAGTTCTAAAGTTACTGCATTAATTCGCAGGGAAAATTGTGAGAATGCAGCACATTTAACCACAGATACTATCGTAAAATAAGGGTGAAAATCGCACAAATGTGTCGGTGTGGTAAGAGGAAAATAACTAGTTAACTTGCGTGGATGATACCAAATTAATTATGCTACCATTCAAAGGATCGTCAAAAAGTAAAGTTGGCAACCACTTTTAAGAATAACAGATATGGTAAAATGAGGCTCCATATTCTTCGAAGTAAAGCGACTTGGTTTTCGTTAGGTGATTAACTTCTGAAGATGTACATCAAGGAATTGCATCCACGTAGCTGGAGAAAAGTGGAAACAAACATGTATGTAACACATTTGATAGATGGGAGACGTTTTGTTGTAGTAAAGTGTGAGATCAAGCGTCCAGCTACATTTTCGTGAACACAAAGGCAATGATAAATTGATGAAATATTGAGGGAGGATATATTTGTAAAATGCAATTCTAAGCGAGTGTATGGGAAAGTCTTGGTTGATGTTAGCAAATGCAACTGAGCTGAAAGGGACGGAGAACTGGACAAGGTTTGCTGCGGCCCCGGTCATCTCTTGCGTGCGAAACAGATTACGATATTTTCGAGAGCGCCGAATTATTGCAGTGGGCAAACTAAACCCATTTTAATCTGTTTGATGCAAATAATGGGAGTCCAAACAATGGCACTTTGTGCTGACCACTTCAGTGAGTTGGTCAAGCTCCATTTTGTTGTCCCTGAACGCCCCTCCCCATTTCCTACTAATGGGACTTTGTCAGATACGCAACGACGGCTCCAAACAGTCTCATCAGACAACATCCTTTCAATTTTTTTCTCAAACTCCTCAAATGAAGACACCAGTCTAATTATGAACATTAATTTACGTCTTAAAATATTGGTTATTCCTCTTATAAATTTTTGTGCTTTAAGCATTGGGTTTCATTCTCATTTTAAGGTTTCCAATCTAACTTTAGCAGGTAAATAAATAGTACTTGACTACTGAAATGCGGGATAAATGCTCAAAATCCTCTCGTGGTCTTCCTGATTGTCCGAGAGTTTAGTCTATTTCTTATTGATTCGCCAGATTTCTTCATGACATAGTGCAAAGCAGGTGGTTCAGGAGCCAAACGAAATAATCAGTCAGATTGTTACCCGGATCATGAACCACTAATGCGTTCAAACCCTTCATGATGGTTTCCATTCAGTCTCATTTGTTTTCGCACTTTCAGTTAATAATACTTTACCGCCGATGATTCCTTCACTGCTACGCTTCTTTTTGATCCCACTTTAACATCCTCTCCTTTAGCACTAACTATTACGATTACAGTCTCCGTTTATTGCTATCGGTGCGTTGTTATTGGTATTTTGTTAAAATACTCTGAGTTTGTGGTTTTTGTGCGTGTTGTCTTTGCGATTCTTTTGCGTTCATGTTCAGTTATTTTAACTCGATGTAAGGCAATACAGCCCTTTTTGTAATAAGTGCATTACTTTACATCTTCAGGATTTTGTATGGTCAGCTTATGCAAACGCGGGTCAGCTTTGTGTTCTTTTTTACTTAGACTCACGTCGTGTACATTCATCTCTTCGTCTTTGTTGGCTGCCTGATTGGATTAACGCTGTTTGTTGGCGTGGTAATCGCAAACTACAGTGAAAACAAGGTAGATTATCCTCACCGGTGTTTTGTTGTACGACTTCTTTGGCCCTTAACTAAACATATTCTCTAAAATTCTCCCCTCAAATTCCTGCTTTGATATTTATAAGGCTGCAATCTTGAATAGCATGCATGCAAAGTATCGATAGGTAGACAAATCTAGAATAAACTAAGTTGCTGAACATCTTTACGCCATTTTGGAGGTCTTGTGATAATTTTCGAATGAAAAAAAAGAATTAATCTTTGATGGCTCACAACACAACGCATCTTTTACATGTTGCATTTGGCTTTATCAAAAGCAGAGTTTCGAAAGAAATGTACCGATTGGCCCAAAATGTTTAAAATGTATCCACACCAACGCCATGTAAACGGTGATCTTATCGTATCAGACTTCACCAGCCTCTCATCAGTTGTTGTAAAAATAAAATAATTCAACATGGGTTTGATCTAACTATAAGTCGGTATATCCAGCCACTACCTGAGTAATCGAGTGAACGCTTTTCAGTTTGTGCGGACCTGAAACAGAAAACTTTAAGCCCGAAAGGGATTTCTTCTGTTCTTTTTCATTTGTCAGGGCACGGCTCTGTTGACGGTTGACCAAAGACGTTGGTTGGATCTAAAGGGGAGAATCAAATTGACCCAACCGCTTCACATACCGCCTCGACCAAGTCAATTAGCGTTATAATTTATTATACATTGTTTTTTAAGTGCAATTTGTCTGCTCCCTTTACAGCAATATTGGTTTATCCAAATTAAATTTTTAATAGCCAAATATTTAGCCTCCTCAGAGCATTCTGTAGTGATTAGTATTGATTAATTTATAGTTTTAAGAGGACCATGAATATGGTATAAAATAATACGAACTAACTAGTTCCCATATTTTTGTAACAACCTCCTCTGTGAGTGACCTTGTTCTGGCATTCAGTAAAGTATTAATTTTTCAGGAATAAAAGAATGCAACTTGTCCTTAGGTTTTACCTGAATTCAATGTAACTGTCAAAATTTTCACAGCTATATTAACAACCTTCTAAATGTTGAAATGCCACTGTAACGCAGTCCTTCACCATCACACGATTTATTTAAGTTCTTAAACTGCTGTTACTCTTGACAGCCAAGCGAGACATAGGCGACCCACGAAGGAATATGTTTGACATGGGCATTTGACACTCTTTGGATAAATCTTTGACTGTGTTAGTAAAAAGATCGAATAATAGGTGCAGTGCATCAAATTATATAGGACGGCCTAGGCGTAATCGAACTCCAATTATTAGTAAATATTATGACTGTGTTTAACAAAGCTTTATTACAAAATTACACAAGTTTGCACTAAAGATACGAAATCTTTCAAGGGTTCGTTTATACCTGGGCCATCCTGTAAATTTCGTGATAAGAAAATCATCCCAAATATAGTATAAGTTTTAGTATATTCCTAATGAAATTTGCCAAAATGTTTTAGAGCTTCGACCAGAACCAGGGCAGTTGCCAATATCTAGTGAGACAACATTCCTACGATTCCGATGCTTCGTCTATGACTTCACGCAGCACATTGCCTTTAAAAGAGCATTCGCCATACTCGTTCTCCTTAACAGCACACTACTCTTCTTTCCAGTGAGTTAATTCAACAAACAATTGTTCGTTATCTTCGACATCTGGGTTTGAGGAAGGAAGTGCTTAAAATTATTTCGTCTTTATCGTCTAGTTTAATGAGCGAGGTGCTGAAGCCTCTCCCTGGGTGAGGATTCGATATCAGGTGCAAGTCACATTGGCCATCGTTTTCACCTTTCTCTTCTGCATGGAATGCGTCCTTAAAATTATCGCACTCACCTTCAGTGGCTATTGGCAATCGAAACGTAATCGATTTGACATGTTTGTCACAATTATGGGAGTCGTTTGGGTTGTCCTTCATTTCTGTCTACGTTCGACACCGGTACGCCATCTTCAGTACCATTCTTTCGTATGTTTTTGCTGGTCTTTCTGTAAGTTACCCTGAGGCGTGGAGTTAAGACTCATTTTAGATTTACTCAATAAAAAAAACACCACTTTATGTTAATTTATTAGCATTTTGGATTCTGTCCGTCACTTGGAATTTGCACCTGCTAAACTGCATGGTTTATGCACTAAGTTACATAGTTTATGCATGGTTTATGTTTTAATTTCGATTATTTGTAATTAAAATTTAGCGAAATGAGTTGCAATGTGCCTGTTACCTAAACGGACTAAACTGCAATCTGATTTGGTCCGTAGTCTGTTATTCCCATGCGTTCTGTGCTTGTTTTTTTTTAACGTAACTGCTTTGGTTTTATAGGCTAACAGAATCATTAGTGATAACTTTGGATGGGTAATACAAATGTTACGCTTCTTTACAATCGCTGGAAAATACGTAAGCAAACTTTTTGTACGGCCTGATGTACCAGATATTAAATGTTTGACTTTGTTATCTTCTATACGCCTCAACATTTTGAGCGTGTCACCGTTGAACTCTACACGCGGTTACTTAATTACCCGCTGCAAACGCATACGTCTATTTGGCGCACTTCTGAAAAGTCATGTCTCAGTTTATTGCCAAGTTTTTCATATTAAGAGCCTGAGTTTAACATTGCATATTACCGAAACCCACCTTGACTGTTTTGAGAAAAGGGACGAGTTGGACGTTATACAAACGAGAGGGCCATCATTATTCATTAATTTCTCGGGTTTCGCATTAAAATTAAACGTTTTTAATTTCTTTCCAGTCCAAAATTTAATGATTCGATGAACGCCAGTAAGCGCTGCACCGACAACAGTTGCGTGTGGGTTTTGCTTTTTCGGAAGCATTAGCAAAAACTTACACTTTTAAATTTAGGTCTTAATATTTTCGAGTAATTTCAGAGCTAGTCATTAGTAAAACGTTAATCCGAGCATGTTCCTTATGGCCCTCTTACTTAATCACTTTTATCTGCATATAGGTGACCCTGAAGATGCTAATGCTTACAGTAACAATGTCAATCTACAAGTCACTTTTCATCTTGACCAGCATGGTAGTACTAATGCTCGTTTATGGTCTGATGGGGGTTGTTCTCTTTGGGTCCGTAAAGTTTGGCGATAACTTGGGCCGTCATGCCAACTTTCACAATGCCTTCCGGGCCATTATCCTGCTTTCTCGAATCGTCACAGGTTTGTCCTCTTACATGCATACTTTTTTCAGCCCATCAGATGTATCAATCACCAACTTTTTTGTTTCAGGCGAGGATTGGAATAAAATCATGCACGATTGTATGATTCAACCTCCCTTCTGTATTGTAAAGGAAACTTTTTGGGAAACCAACTGTGGAAACGCTCAGGCGTCTCTGGCCTACTTTTGCTCATTCTACGTTATAATCACTTATGTTATGCTTAACGTTCTTGTTGGTACGTAGTTTCAAATTCACTTTCATTTTAGCAAGCTTGTGTAGTGGTGTTATTTCCTTTACAGACTGGTTGAGTAGGTATCGTACTTTTCTAGTCTTATGTGTAACTCTTTTGGCGTTGCTTGCTGGACGAAAAAGTACATCTGCAAATGCACTACAAACCCTAAGTTATTCGGCAATTTATCACTGATAATTGTGACGATAGTGTGATGGATCCACTTCATTTCACGAATTTACGCTCTATTTTGTTAAATTCTACATACAAAGCTGCCAAAACCTTAATGACTTTTTTAGCTATCATCATGGAGAATTTCTCACTGTTCTACTCGAATGACGAGGATGCAATAATGAGCTATAGTGATATAAGAAACTTCCAACAAGCTTGGAATATTATTGACGTTAACCGAAAGGTACATAAAACTATTTGCTTGTCTATTTGCTTGTCCGATTTTAGTCTTAAATAGAAATCATTTCCCCAAACCTATTTTTAGGGCGTGGTAAAGGCTTATTACGTTCGCTTCCTTCTTCGTCTAATACCCCGAGATCGAGTTGGATTTGACCTTTCGAAAAAGCGTGATAAGCAGCTCTTTAAAGAAATGTGTTTTGAAGTTGAAACTCTGCGTGGAGGTCGCGACAAGGAAGTCAGTTTCCATGATGTGTTAATGTAAGTCAGTTGATCATGATAATATGAATGATTTTGAAAAGTGTGTCGTAAAATTGGTTTCATCCAAGCAGCCTCCACTTCAAATGTGAGGCCCGCCTGAAGACGTTTGCGGACCAGCAATATACACGTGTTTTTTTAAGATGAGGTACTGACTCATTTTTTCTTTTAAGGGTTCTTGCCTATCGAACAGTGGATATAACAAAAACGTTGCAATTAGAAGAGTTGATTGCACGTGAGGATCTGGAATATGCGATCGAGGAAGAGGTCGCCAGACAGACTATTGCTACGTGGATTGAGCGGTGTATTTTTAGAAAACGTCAAGTATGTTGCTCGTATATTGAAATCACGCAATAATAATTTATCTGCCTTCAAATGGCATCGGCAGGCAAAATTTTTCTGCTTTTAGCTCCTTGAATAAATGTCAAAATGGATAAAATAACCAAATATGTACCTGTGTCATACTTAATTTCACCAGTAATTTACAATTGTTTGGGTTTCTGCAGAATTCCACCTCCCTATTACAGATTAAGCCTGATATCGTGTTACGCGTTTACGGTTTGTGTGTTTCAGAAACATGGCCATCTCCATTTTTCCATGTATTCGGGATCAGATCGTCCAACAAGTGGCCAGTCTCTTGAAGAACCTAACAAGGATGCTTCTGTGACCACAAATAAGCTGGATTTTTCTAAGGCCTCGTTTCGAATGCGCCCCTCAAAAATTAAGTTCAATAGGGAGGATTTATGTTCCCGAACCGACAGTCTGGAAAATCCACTTTCTGCTCTTCCTATGAACCAGAGCCCTCCCACAACTCCAACCCAACGGCACATTCACTCGCCATTCGCCACGTCGATCAGATCCACCGACAATGCTGTTTCACACATGCCTGGTTTTCAGGATGCGTGTGATTGCCGGAGCCATGTCAATGGACGTCTAGAGTCCAAGCCTCTGAAACCGGATATCCATATTTCAGATGGTGTGATCCCCAACAGCATTAGCAGTAAGGTTGAAGGAAGCAATCTGCTGCCTACGTTGAGTTCCTCCACGTCTTTTACGTTTGTTGATTCATGTGCAAAGTCAAGGCAGGCAGGTTCAGGCCCAATTAATCTAAACTCGGCTGAAGCTGAGCCTTTTAAAAATCTTCGACTCGCTAATACTGGTAGCACAATTCTCCGACGTCGAAGCATGCGCTCTTCGAGAACACCTGCTGCACACCTTTCAGAAGTTGTTGAAGATTCAGATGAGGGCCCAAGACTTTCTGGATTTCCTGGTACGGGAATGACTGTCATTCAAGAATCAGGAGCGGGTTTATCAAAAAAGTCTAGTGTTGAACTCGATGAACTGAAAGTTTCTGCATTATCTAATCTCTTAGCATCAACAGGGGAACATTCAACCAGTGCTACTTCAGAAATATCCGCAAGCATTTTAGATACACCTCAGAATGAGGGTCGCCGAATTTCGCCGCACTACGACAAGCGAGCCTCCCCAGCACTTACAAATTCGAAAGGCTCAGGGAATGACAACCCAGCCATTGTCGTCCCCACGCAGGTCGAAGTCCAGACCTCATGTCAGGATGTAAAGTCATGGTGGATGCAACAGATCAGTCTTGATGTGCCTTCACTTACTGGGCCTTCCGTCAATAGCAGCCTCGACAAAATGGCAGGAGTAACAGGGGAAGGGAACAAGGAGATATTTTTTCCGTCAATGTTTGCCACAACAAGTCGACAGGGAGTGGCAAGCCGCGTCCGTCGAAGAGCACAACATGCACCAGCTGTGAGCGAAGGCCAATAGACGACCATATGTAGTGGCGGAGAGGGGCAGTTCCTCAATGATCTCATCGCCTCGAATAATAATCTGTCGAACAAACGTGTAGATTTAATTGTTTTATTATTTTTTGTGTCGGTACTCAAATGTTTTACTCAACCCGTAAGTCCTGTGTTTCATTTTTGCGCATAATGACCATTGAAAGACCTTTTATCCAAATGTATTTGGTGGATATTTCATGAATATCATGGAATTCAGGTGATAATGTTTCGAAAGAAACGGTAAAATCGGCTTCTGCTTACTGGCCGAAAAGTTGGATGTTGTGTTATTTCGCAATAGTGTCTTTATCAAAATAGTCTTGACGACGACCCTTCGGTTACTGCACTTAGCTTGCAAACTTTTTTGTATGCCCACGTGGTGCACTTGAAACCACACCTGCTCGGCACCTACTTGCTGTCTCAACTACCACAATTATTCCCGAAATCGACAATTCGACGTGCATATGCGTCCCGATGGTAACATAAGATACAAGGGCGCAAGGGTTTAGTTATACATTTATTTTTAGTGAAGTAAAGCATTTCAGACATGAGAACAGTGGCCCGAAATTATACACGGTGAACGTTATAGTCCACTTTTAGTTCATGCAGTGGGAGGTCATGTGTATTTAGAATTGCCGTTAATATTGGTAATCGATTTACGCGATATAGTGGTGCGTTGCCAAAGGCAAAACTAAAAATCCTGAATTTCTTGTTCAAAGAGTAGAAGCACCAGTAAACAGTTAGCGAAACGCAGTTCCTTGTGGTGCAAAAATTCGATCGTATTTTGAAGTATTTGAAGTAATCTTGATTTTCAAGTACCCCCGCCTTCAAGCAGGTTTATCCAATAGTGATGACTCAACATGAATGGTAAAAATTAAAATACTAGATTTTTCATGACAGAGAGAAAGTACCTAAATGAGGTTACATATCCGTATCAAATTACAGTCGAGTCTAATGCGGTTTGTCTCTACTAATCTTCTTGGTAAACCCAGACTCGACAGTAAATCTTGTCGATTGGTAACTATGCTAGAAAATCTAAAACAGTTTGCCACCGTTGATAACCAAAGCTAATATATTGGTGTATTGATTTATAGTAAATCGTCAGAGGATGCAAATGAACGGAAGATTGCCTGCATGGTTAGTGTAGTTTAAATGGTGTCTGTGAGTCAACTCAATACTTTATTGATCAGATGTATTTTAAAACCACTTTCTTGAGCACCTATGATCTAACACATCAAGAATTGTTAGTAGCACAATGTAGCATCCAAAGTTTTAAGTCACGTTCTTATCACCGGATTTTCCTCTGGGCGTCAACGAAGAACAAGGTTGTGATGTAGCTTGCCCTCTTGCTAAAGATCGTAGTTGCTAAAAAATCTGCAATCACAAAGAGGAAAATGCACACGCCTTTTACCGCTGTCAAATGTTAATAGACGACCAGTTTTCTGCTAACATCAAAATACATCCATTAAATTGCCGTTACGAATAAGCTAAATTGTAACTAACAAACTGCTTAAAGATCCAAAATTAACGTCATCTAAAATAAGGGACCAGTCAAACACATATAACTGGAAGCCATTAGTCTTATTTATAAATGGAAGTGTACCCCAAACAATGGTCCCCCGAAACCCACAAATACTTTATCCGTTCATGGCTTCAGGCGCACTCAACTTCATTTGGTTGTCAAGCCTCTGTAATTCTTTAAATACAATATATGCTAAATTAAGAACTCATTTTCAAAATCAACAAAAGTATTAAGGGTAAAATCTTCCTACTTTTTAATTCAAAGTTGCATGATACATGGCTTTTACTAAAAAATCAAGGACCAGTTTAAACTGCTCATTTGTTGTTTACTTTACCAGGGTGCTCTGATCATTCCTTGGTTAACGCAATGAATTATTTTTTTGAGGATAACATTATTTTAATTTTAGTTTTAGTCATGTCATTTTCTAGACATGTATCACGATATGTATTTTTGTGGTATGCCAATTTTTCCCTAGCATTTAGAGAAATCCACCATTGATTATTTTGCAGTTAATGTAAGTTGCAAGAGACAACCTTTGTGATTGATCTGTAATCATATTTTGCTATCATTCGCACTCTTTTCCTTAGTTAAGATTTTCCCTTACCAGACAATTTAAATCTCTCTGATCAGTACAAGGACAAATTTATTTTATCATTTTCTACACCTTCAGCCCGCAACCGATTTGTCTTACGAAAAACTTAAGTGTCGAATCGCGATATACAGTAGGACTCACCAAAAGTTGAAAAATTAAAGTTGTTAAAATTTGGATAACATGCTTCAGCACTACCTTTGGGAAATATCGTTGGCGATTATCTGTCATGACTATCGACTAATTATTACATATTTACGAAATGGATGACTTCGTCTCATAAGAAACTGTAATAGTATTATGCCACCCTCAAAAAGCGGAAGGTAAATGAAAACAAAAGTGGACACACAGCTCACCTGTCTGTTCGCTGCTACAAAGAAACACAACGATTTAATAATGGATGTTTAAATAGTTACGTGTACGGACGAGCAGATTGTCAACACCAGACAATATGTCTTTATATTACACAAATGTTACCTTTGCAATGCCAAAAAATATGTTTCCTTTCAGATTCCAAAAAAATATGGTAAACTTTTCACCGTGATTCGAGAATTGTTTGATGTCAACAGATTAAAATTTTTCCGGTTTCCAAAGATGCTAAAGGATGCAGCATGGCTAGACCTTGCTCTTAGGTTGCTTCCATTTTGGTAGAAAGGCTGTAAAAGCATTTGTTAAAAGCAGACTGATCTCTAAACTGTAAACAGAAAAAAAATATATTTGATATGTAAATAATCCGATGATGAAAACCTCTTAACCAATAAAAACGTTGCAATTTTGAGGCAGGATTTCTGTAGCCAAATTTGCGCATCTCTATTTCGGCTGAACATGGCAGCTTACCCCAGGTACATTTCTCAGTCCCCATTGAGTGTTAATAAGCAAATTGCTCAAAACATGATGTTTCAAAAAGTGACGATAAATCATACCTCTCCCGCTTCACATAAGTCCACGTCAGCACTCCCAAATGGATGGAAGCGCGAGGAGGCATTGAGACCGCAGGGTCTTAACAATGGCAAGTCGATCGTGTCGTACATTTCGTAAGTTTCCTGGATGAGCCTTATTTGATTAGTCCTAGCGGGGCACAAATAAGGACACAGAAGGAATTGCAAATTGCACTGGGGGATAGATATGATGTATCGCTTTTTGACTGGCGTAGTGGAAAATTTTCGAGCCCTCCTTTGAAACACAAGATGTCTGCCACCTCGGGTGATTCTTATCATTCCAAGAGTAAGGTTTCATTTCAATTTATTCTTTAGAAAGTAGACTAGATGACACTGATTCTGATTGGTGTCGTCGCATTTCATCTTCGTCCTTTCCAAAACCGCTTATATTACTAAACCATAATGACAGTAAACAGTCGGACAAGCCTTCCACCCAGGAATGCTTAAAACAAGTAAACTGACTAATTGTCTAATTGAACCTTAGCTCTTTTCGGAGCGTCGCCTTGCAGACCGTACAGCCGTAGATCACCGCGATGGCAAAACCATTGCTTTATTCTCCCTTCCACAGAGCATCGAATGTAGGCTAATTACGAGTCACGTTATTCTTTTGTAGCTGCTGGCGTGCCTGGATACGATAAAAATCAGCTAATACAAAATCTGATTGTCTCTCTGGCTTCAAAACGGGGTCCCATTACGGGACAGGAACGGACTGTGGAACAGAACCCATGTGCTGTACTTAATCGGAATCAGCCTTTTGTTAAAGTATCCATATTCGTTGCTTATTTGTCTTTTCAGAGTTTTGTTATAACCGATGAGGACATACGCAAACATCAGCAACGTGTCACTGAACTCAGAGAACGATTGCAAGCCCTGAGAAAGTTGCACACCTCCGTAGGTTGCTCTTCGTCTTCTTAGGACAATTTTCCAAGTTTAATTGTAAACCTCTCTTGCCCAGCGTTATTCTTATCTTTTAGTGATCTATTGATGAACGTCTTGGCTAACGTCCCGTGCTTTCAGGTTTTTGCTTGGGGAACCCTTACGTACTATGTACATATTTTTTCAACGAATTTTATCTCCACTGATCGGTATAAGGTGTTCTCGTTGATGTTGATAACCATCAATTATGTAATTAAAATGCATTTCGCGTTTTCCTCGCTTTTCATCTTACATTACGGTTCAATGTCCTGTGTTAATGAGTATTTTAATCAAAGCTATTATTTAAATGTGAAGTTGAAGCTAAGTGTTGTAGGGCAAAGTATTCGCTCGTAAAAAGTTGTGTAACTGCAGGAGCCCGCATGGAAATTAGTCAAAATTTATTTTTGAAGTGTTGTGTAGACGGAACTCAATTATAATAAATGGGTTAAAATTATTGGCCTCTCGAAACAAAAAAAATGCATCATGTGGCCAGGTGTGATGGCCATGGATGGTCCTCTGGTGGTTCACCCAGTCGCGCCTATGAGGTTAAGTTCTCCGGCTTTGTGTGCTGCCCTTTTTTCTTTCGCGATTCTTTTTGCACGCTCATTGTGTTCGCGAAGCTTGCGCACCTTTTCTTCCTTCATCCTCTAATTTCAATTAAGAATAACCCATCAAATGACAATTTTACTTTTATATTTACAAGAGCGTGACAAGCATTCTTTGATGCCGATAGCTGCAATTTCAATCTCCACCTAGGTAATCTAGCTCTTGAGTATTGAGATATCTATTCAAACGGCTTAAGACTGAAACAGGAGTCATAATGATGTACCACGTTCTTGTGACGACCTGAGTTAATCTTGTGTTAATTGAGTGAAATATTTTGAGGTAGCGTGGTGAAGCACTCTGGCTTCCATTTGGTTGCCTATTTTAATGCGAGTAAAAGTAGTAAAATTGGTATTTGGGCCAGCCTAAGACAGACTGCACTACAACATCCACCACCTTTGTTTTGCCGTTAAGCAAGGATTCTGGATGCTCATTCAAGCACTTCACATCTCCTGTGTATGATTCTTCGTTTGAGATTCATTGGCACGCATCTAATTTGTTCTGGTGTGACAAACTGATCTAAGGTCCATCGGCTTTAGTTGAAGTCCTCGATTAGAGAAATAGCTTTTCTATCCTAGTCAGGTGTAGCACAATTATTATGTGTAATATTAGCCATCCAAGTAGACAAAATGGGTTTACTGGTTGCTGTTTTGCATCAATCGTGTTCACGGGATCGACAGCCTCAAGTATCAATTTGAACATGTTATCCACTTGAGCTGCTAACACGCCAATTCCCAATGAATAGAGCAGTTGTGATGACCTCCGACATATCGTGAACTACATTTTGCACAGAACTGGCATCTGGCTTTTTCTGAGTCCTCCACTTAGAAATACTGGCATTATTCTAAACTAGGCTTGTAAGCCTTCTTCACTTATTAAGTGAGGTGCATGAATAAGACGAGGTTAACATTTTCATTGGCTACGTGATTAATTAATTAGAGCCGCGATGATTAGTAATGTCGTCATACAGGCTGTCGAGTTACCAGTAAAATACACCCTGTGTGTGCATTCTAACAACTCACTCTGGCGCGTTCTTCGCAGCGGCGATATTTCTCTTCACAGCTAACAACTTTCATGGCAAAGGTGCCCAGACGATTGGCAAGAGAGGCCGGAATTTCGGGCCGCACATGAGTTTCCCAGGCATTCAACCCAACATTACCGGGGTAATCTTCGGTCAGTTGGGCCCCACCGAAGGTAGTTGAAGTAGCTGCTCCGCCGTCTCCACAGCCCCCCCTAAATGTAGGCGCACACATCTACCTTGCGGCGAGTCATGTTGCAGACACCTCACCAAGGCAGCCCGTTATCGATTTTCAGAGATCGAAAGGCATGTGGTGCATGAGGCCTTGCGCGGCAAATCACGCTGCTGGGACAGCGCTGCGCTTCTTGAAATTCGTTCAAGAGGTTCATCGTACGGACACATCGAAGTTGATGTGCTGCACTTGTTTTTTTTCCACTTTTGGCAACATAAAGTTCGTCAAACATGACAGCGGAGGTAACTTGGTGCTATCCGGTCTTAACACAAGGCCAGTTTTGTGCAAAGTAGTAGGCATACCCGAACACACCCAGTAATCAAAAAGAATATGAGCATTTCATGTGGAAACAAGTGTACTTCCTCAACCCCAAGTGATGCTTTCAGTCTGCCAGGGAATGGATTGACCAGCTCACTTGCTTCGGCTCCACGGACACCAAGCGTGCGCTGGACTATGCTCTGTCAGATCCTCTCACGGAGTCAGTCTACCTCATCACGGACGGACGACCAAACCAGCCAACGGGTGCCTTGCTCGCGCACATCGCCTCACTCCAACCCTGTGCGCCGATTCACACATTCAGTTTCAACTGTTCGGATCCCCAGGCTAACGATTTCCTAGCCAGTCTATCAAAATTAACCGGTGGCCGATTTCAAATTCTCAACCATGATAACGACAACGTCATAGCCCATGAGGTGTGTCCAATAGGGTCAGTTTAAATATAGTACATTGGCAGAATGATCAGTTGCTCTATAATTTGGAGTGGCTATTGTAGCAGTGGCTTATGCGTAGAATGACAGTTTAGAAATTCATAGACAATTTAAAAAGCAACAAATGCTTTATATTTAATCATTCACAGTCAGCGTCGTAACTCTAAATTGCTAAGTTAAGTTTTTACACTTTGCTTATGCGTCGGTCAAGCCAAGTGTCCTGATCTGAACGATCACACGAACCCACAAAAAGCACAATTACTATCCCAGTTATGATTTTGCAGAACGAGGACTTGATGCTGTTGCGGGAGGAACTTTTAAGAGGACGTGCGAGCCTGGAATTTATGCAGGACATTTATAAACAGTGTCGTCTGAAGACTCTAGCACGTGCGCAAGAAACTTCACCCAGTTGCATCAGCCCCCCAGCTGTCGTGGAGAAAATCAGTGATACTACTTTCGAGGGTCAAGTGCCAACTCGTTTGACTGTTACCAAAGAGATTTGTCAGAAGGTTCTTTTACCACCTGACCCATCGACCCCTACAGACGGACGAGAATCAGGTAATTTGTGCAGGTTTCGCTAGTATTACAATTTTTGAAGTGCGAATGTGCCAATATAGCCTTCTACAAGACAGACCAGATGCTTTCAGCAAACCGAACCACTTTAGTCAGGGGCTGAAGATGTCTCTTAGCTGCAACAGTCTGCGTTGTTGATTCAGTGCCAAGTAATCAGTTTTAAAGGACCTTCTTTTTTAACTCACAAGCAGCAAAAATCTACTATTTGTACCATAAGTAGTCATTTGCTAGTGTTGCCATGGTGCCGGTCAACTGGTCATAATCTTATCTAGTCATAGGCTAAACACTGTATTATTTTTAATTCTTACCGCCATACGAATTGTGGCAACACTAAATAGTGATTCGTGGTGGCAGCAGTTTCTCTTTTTCCCAGACAAGTATTCAGCTAGGAAGAGCTGAAGGTGATTGATGGTGGAGCACGATGGAGCAATTTAAATAAAAGCAAGCAACTGCGCCGACTTTCGAGACTTTGCTTGACCACCATCCCAAAGAGTTTCCCGCTCCCTTAATTTACGATGATCATTTAATGAATCACTTCTAAATGAATGGTCTGTGCAGAGATTCACTGCTACGGCGGATCAATCAGGCCTCTCCTTCTTGTATACCTTTGAGTGCACATTACCTTATTTACGCTTGACGTTTTAGACTCACATCGTGAAAAACCCAAACTGCAAGAAGTTCCATCTGTTGAAGGGTAACTCCATTATATCTTACAAACCCCTGCAGCTTCACATCAAAAAAATCGGAGCCCGATACATCCACTAGAAAGTGGTTATTAAAATACGGATTGAGAACTCTGAAAGCAAGCACATGTGCATTACTTAAACCGACATTTATCCCACTTCCTGGGGTTTATAAAAGATACATGTGTGACGATGAATTCTCCAAATGCCTTTTTTCGAAGTTGCCCGTGGCCTTAACAGCCGCCGCCAGAGGAGGTGAGAATCCCAGCGTGTGCACTTTCATCGACCCCGAATTGCTACAAAATTACTGTTCCAGCCTATCAACCGTGCTAGAAAATATTTATAGGTAAGAAAACCTAATTTTGGCACAAAAAATTGTGCTGCTGCGCTTCACAGCAGATATTAGCAACAAACTACTGTCAAATTCCGCAATAGGTAGCTCCACCACGTTGCTTGTCTACATTTGTCTTTTACTACCGGATTTTATGGACTTGTTAATTTTATTTGCATGCTGATGGCCTTAATGTTGGGCAAGTCAACGACATGTTGACCTGTCTTTATTAATAAGAACCCTTAAAAATAATCCCACGTGAGAACTAGTAAAAGGTGCTGAATGCTCCTTCGACTCATCACAAAGGCCCACCTAATACAGACCGCCCTATGCAAAGTGAGCAAATCTTGTCGGGTATAATGACCCTGATACTAACAAATAGCTCTGTACTCGTGGACTAAATCAAGCTAATAGTGACTTTTCCACTGAGACGGAATTATAGGTTAGTGGGGTTAACGATTATTAAACGGTTTTGCGCAGGAAGGCGATGGAGATATCAGAGGCAGAAGGCAAATGTGGGCAACCGTTGTGTTGGCTTCATTGTCGTGGTACCCTCGCAGAGCTGACTGAAGAGGCAGCGAGACGGGGAGACGTGAAACTGCTGGCCGAAGAGTTTAAGAGGGTGAGCATCCACTTCTTGGTGTGTGTTTTGCGTTGTTGGTTGATTCAGCGAATTTAATTTAGCATTGGTTTACTTTTTAGGGAGTCACTTACTATAGGCGTGCTCACCTGCTCTTGCAAACCATACTGAAGCACAATGCTCGTTTTCATTCACTCCAATAAAGTCTTTTTAAGTAAAATTTGATGCTGGCCTTATTTTGTCGGTACCCTGGGATTTTTGATTGGCTTACTTCCGGAAAGTCCGAAATATGCGTAGAGCACTTATATCGGCACTTCCCGAAATTCCTTAATAACTCCGAAACACAGCGAGGTTTGAAGTCATTGTTTTGAGATTTTGCTAGGTCAAAATTTAAAAGCTACTATTCAATCCACCGCACAAGTCTTGGAGACATTCTGGTTATCCCCGTGCCTACCAAGTGCCACTTTTCTCTTCTGAAAGTTTTTGTACGGGTACTTGGCAGCAAATGCGGTCTACACTAGGTTTTAAAAGGAATTTCACCAAAATAATTCACGGTATTTGTTCATTTATTAGTTCTCCTTCAGTTGCACAAGGACAAGTTGAAGTCAGTTTCACCCAGTAGTAAACTAAACGCTCTGACATACCCAGGTTAGGCAATTGCCAAACCAAGAAGCGCTGGATGCTGCATAAATCACGATCTTTACGTAGACTGGGATTGAACACTTTCCCCGACGTCACACTGTCAAATTACGGTTCACTTGGCATTGTAGAACAGTAAGAAATCGATGAGCTTGATGCTCTATCTAACGGTAATATCAAAGTCCCACCATCCTACGGGAATAACTTGAGTTAACAACTGCGTATAAACATAGACAAGGAATTCCTAGACGTTCCTTTAATTATCGTCAAAATACCTTATGAACAATACAAATGTTTATTTCGAAAATGCAGGCTATTTGAAGGTTAACTGACTTATGCATGTTCCTCAATATAATGACGAAGGGAAAATTAAGGTACATTAAAGTTTTCCAGGTTAGATTGTCGTGAAAAAGTGATTCTAGGTAGATACACTTAGCATTATATTTGTGTGTTTCTTGTATATCTGTTTGTGATTTTACATCTCACCAGTTGAAGAATGACGACATCTGCCAGCAGAACCACAAAACCCTTAAATAGCCATTATTTTCTAAGAACCAACAGACCGATAAAAAAGTCAGCAAGAGAACTAATGTCTGAAAGAATAAAGAAGTCCCTTTCAACTATACATGAAAGTCTTTTTTGAATAAATTAGTCAATATCAGGGATGAGCTGAAGCAGTCCTAGTTGTCAAGTCTCGGAGGTGGGGTGAATGATGAGTGGGATGGGTTGGTTCAGTCTTGCCACCCTTCCAGAGGATGTGGTGGTGGCAACACTGGAGGTGTTTCTGCGTAGATTGCTGCCTGGCGCACTCTGTGACTCGTCATCCGGAGGCATGTGACCTCGAAGGCTGCGCCCGAGCACAGGACCCCTGTCACCGCCGTGGCTCCTGGCTTCGCCGAACTTGACTCCAGCATGATTCGCAGCGACCTGTTCAGCAAGTAGGCGCTGTCGTCGTCGCTTCTCCTGGCGCTGGGCCCCACTGGCAGCTCTGGCCTCGGCTGCCGCTCGAGCAGCCTCTTCGGACTGCTTGCGGGCAGCCTCCAACTCCTCTTGGCGTTGCTTTGCTTGTCTCGAAGAGCGACTAGCATAAACTACGGTACAGGAGAAGCAGAAAACATCGTATACACCATATCTCTCAAGCTGCCTTGGATTTAGAGCCGGGATTAATGTGGCTTTGCCACACAAACTTTGTGATTATTAAGATATGTTTGTGGAATTCGGTGAGATTCGACCATTGTGGCTATCAAAAACGCGGTTTATCGGGTAAAATGACGCAAAATGCACACAACAGCTTACAGTGACTACTGAATGACATTTGCTAAGACATTCATGCAATAGTTTCGTTGATTTGCAGATTTTTGACAGGATTAAAATAACCCACCCAAGAGACCCACCTGACCATTCAAGGTATACTGGTAAATGGCGAAAAGTCGAAACTACAGTTGACAGGTAATTGAGGCTATTTTGAGTGCTGTATAGGTAAGAATCAGTTTGCTGGAATTTTTTAATGACGTTCAACCTTCTCCGTCGTGAACGACACGATCACAGCGTTTTCAATTACGGTAATTCATGACACCAAAATTCATGCTGCTTGTGCGAATCCAGTGCATTTATTGAAATGCATTGCAAAAGGTATCTAAAAATCCCTCAAGTAGCACATTAGCAGTCGACTGGTGGCCACAAATATGGGATTAGAGCCGCAAAAATTGAAAAGGGCTTTGATCTAGGTAGGGTCTTTGCAAAATGTTGCAAACACAATAAAGGCAATGGTGTAAACTTGCTCTTAGGTGTGCCGCCAGGGTCACTGTGAGCTGCCTGGCGGGACTGGTGCAGTCCGATTGTCGCACCGTCGGGCACGTCCAGCCTCGTGGCTGCAGCCGCCGCCGCATTGGCATTCTTCACCACGGCCTCGGCCAGGGCAATCGCGTGGGCCCGATCAGGGATGATGTTTGCGAGGGTGTGCTTGGACTTCTTCCCTGGGCCGCGTTTGAGAATACCCCCCTCTTTCTTCCCATCAGCCTTGTGTCCCTTTGTCGGTAAATCTGACATTTTCGTGGTCGAAACCATCTCACTCTTGGTTGTTTTGTCAGTCTTTTCAGTCGCGTGGCCAACTGCCTCCTTGTGTTCTTCTCCGTCACACACATCTCCTCCTCCTTCCTCGTGGTCGTCGTCTTTCTTCTCCTTTCCTTCCTCCGCACCATCTTCACCCACACCACCACCTTCGGTTCCAGTGTGGCCAGCATGTCGGTCGCCCGCGAGAACGGACATCTCCTGTAGCTGAAAACCTGCCGAGCCGGCTACCTACAACCGAACGCAATGAATTGAATTTGAATGAAGTGCCCAGCATTTACCTTGCACACGTGATGCATCCAACAATAATTGCCAAGATGCTGGGTGAATTTGGTGGCTTCTACTACCTCAAACGCCAAGCCCAAAACGAATTCAAAGCTCTCCTTATGCAACGCCAATAGCTCATTGTCAATGTGAACCTTCCAAAATGTCAAAAATATCAATTAGGGTAGTATGTCAATTCAAAAGGCTGAATTTTATGTTTTCGTTTATAATTTGTAGAGTGTTAAGCTTTTTGGTGGAGCACAAAGAGTCAGCTGAGGAATGTTAACTTAAAGGCTAATAAACGCATGGTTACGAAATGTATTTTGCATCACCTCCTGGGCGTAGAAGCAGATGACAGAGAGCACCGAAGTAACATTCATAGAATGCAGCAACCAACGTAGTATCAGCGCCCCCACACAGAAAGCTTTCAAGGTGATAGTCTCTTGAGCTACGGATGTAATCTGTCATGCACAAACTCAAACGAAGAACATTTAGAGTAAAAGTGGATAACTCGATCCTTCAAATCAGTACTTTTGGGCTTGGGTGTAATTGTCGGGTAAAGAGAGTGAAAATTAGTTTGAGTTAGCCTGCTTGGTCCCCCGTGGCGCATTAGCTGATGGCTTGCGTCCCACACAAGAACAGACACGAAGGTTGCAAGACCATGAAGGTGAGACACTGACTAACTAACTAACTTACTGAAAAAGCAATGTTAAGACCAGGTCGTCCTGGAATCATGGGGGGCACAGCCCTCGATTCGTTTGGCCTTAAGTTAAAGTGGGGAGGAGGCTGACGCTCCGCCTTGGCTTTGTCCCCGTTATAGTGAATGGCCTTTAAGTAGGACTCCAGATAGTTCGACAAGGCTTCCGTTGCTCCCTCCAAATTGTTCTGCTCCAAAACGACGTCGAAGCTCTCCTTATATACAATGGCAAAACAGCACGGTTATGGCGGTGATTGGTTTAGAAGACTAAAGGCCCTAATGTGCGAGGGAGCTCTCTTGATTCTAAAGGGTCGTTTCCATGTCCATGGAGCTAATCAGTTATCAGATTTAGAAGGAAGTGGAAGCTTAAGGGGTGATTAAAGTATTAATAAAATTGTGCTTACTTGAGAACATGTCGCAAAGTAGTACAGCCTTACCTCTGCGCACTGAAGTAACTTTTCGGCTGCAGCGATTTGTGAATTGGTTTGCTTCTTTTGTGATTTCCCCCGATTTTTGATAAGACGCTGTAGCACACGGATGCTAGAGATCTTAATGTAGACCATTATTGGAGCAAGACAAGATTTCGCAATCTGATGTGGATGGTTAATGGTGTCACTGTCGATAACTACTAATTGCATATTAGTAGCGAGGTCGAAAATTCGCTCGATTTCACGTTGAACCTCAACTTGAATAAAATGGAAAAGCAATATTTGTTATCGCTTGTCTCCTGATTTCAAATATGTCCACCCAACAAATTATAAATTTTGGTAGCACAAAGGAATAACTGTAACATTTGTCATGTTATTTCCGCATAACCCATAGTTTTACGATACTGGTTTCGTTGGAGCACTTCAATTCAAATAGTAGCACATTTACTCTTTAACGTTTAATTTTCACTCTGTTTAGTGTCACAATAATAATTTTTTTTAGGATAACACGTATACATTGTTCGACATTCCGGACTGTCTTTGTTATTCTTCTATTCCAATGACTGCGTGCTATTATTTAAGCCGTCATTGCTTACAAATTTATCCGCTGTAGACCACTTCGAATAGTGTTCCATGTGAGCACCACTCATCCTGAGATCAAATCGAAAGTAGCGCTCAGCAAGAATCTGAATTAAAACAACGAATAAGTCAAGACCAATATGTCGATGTCACAATTGCGCCAAAATGTTATATCATGGCACTAGTGGTGAGTATTCTGGAGCTCGGTTCATCTAGTGGATTGATGCCTAGGCACCAAGAACGATTTGTGTTTTAATTGTAAATCAAACAAAAATAAACCTTACTTACGGGCTGTAATAATTTGACGACCACGTGTGCGATCTTTGAGTGCTTTCTTGTCCATATTAATCAACACACTAAGCCTCTTCCAAGCGGAGATATCGCTAGTTACGCGGGTTACCACGATTCTACAAGAAGGTTGGACACGAATTACCGGAGATACCTTTGCAGAATGCAAGTTGTAAGAGACACTGACATACCGCTCTTCGAAGGACTTCTTAAGGGAATCGAAAAGAGCCTTTTGCATCATGTCGGTTACTTCGTAGCCCTTGAGTGCGGGGCCAACCACGACTACGGGACGGACATTCGGGACAAGTTCATATGGTGGTCCAGTGAACCCCTGGAAATAAAATTAGTAACCATTTAAGCATGGTGTTCTTAGCTAGGAAAACTAAGAACACAGTGAGCATTAAATTAGCATGAAAATCGGGTCGCAAAATAGAGCGTTTTGGGTTGTGTTTGCAGTGGACGTGGGCGTGTTGTCAGTAATGTGACAGTTGGACGCAACTCACACGGAGGTTCATCAGTCAAAAGCCTTTTTCAGGACCTCTTACTTTGATGTAGGGGGATATAGGCGATTTGTCAAACAATAATCCAAGCAAAGCCAACCACTGGGTATGGATGTCAGTGCTGTGATTGTTTTTCTTGATGGATGAAGGCTTATCCAAGGCAATCTTGCAAACCCCACTTCAAATTTGGTGCATGTAAGTAAGCGATTGCGCAAAACTAGTTCTACTTCCAAGAAAGAACTCAAACAACCTCGACTCTCGAAATTTCCAGCAAAGGTGACTCTTGGGGATACATTTGTGACACACAGGCTCCAGTGTGGGAATTGCCAAATATTTGCGCGAACAGGTAGTTTGTTCGATGGAAACTACCGCGAAAACAGAATATGACCGTGATGAAATTTCCACTCAGTAATGGGATCAACTAAAAACTGATAAGGCATAAGTCAGTACCTTTCGAAAGAATGTTTTTTTCTTGGAAGCAGACGGGAGAGTGGTCGTCAGGTTCGAAACGGCTTGTGTCGGTGTTTTCTCGGACTCCATATCCGGCAGCGACACTCCAAGACCTTTGCATGCATACAAAAGCACTTAGCACTGCTACAAAGTTGTAACTCATTTCAGCAAACAATTGTGCTTATCACGGAGGCAAATTCGTACAGTACCGAGATCGTGGTTGTAGTTCACATTTAAAACGCTTTTGTTAAAAAAGCAGGAGCCTTAGTTACGCCTTCAAGTTTTTGCAGAGAACGCATGCCGTACGCAGTTCGAATGCGCATCGTAGACCATTTTTAAAAAAAATAACACTTATGCCCTCATAAAGAATTTTCTACAATAGATCGGACAGCATATTTTTCGTTAAACTAAGTTACTTCAAAATGATCCATATTTTATAGAGGAAAACATGCATTTCTAATTTGGTAACTACTAAATCATTGCTGAATGCAATTGTTTTCACCTCTTAAGCGATAGGTTAAATTCAACAGCTAATAAAATGCATTTTCGTTTTAATAATAAACATTGGCAATGTCCTACAATGAGGCAAGATACGACCTATTAGGGAAAGGTGGAGTTATTTTTAGAGGAATTTGAGTTGCTCTGTGATTGTGTTGGTAGGTATTTCAGGACGCTCTGATTAGACGAAGACAAAAGCTTTTAAAACTTAATTTAACAGAACATATTCAGAAGTCATTCAATGTAAGTTAGTTAACAGAATCAAGAAAAAGTAAAGTACGTCAAAATACAAAAGCCTGCAAAACTACAGGTGATATTATAATCTGAACCAGAATTTGACTCAACTACTTAATCAGTGCAATAATGTCAGCCTACCTGAAGCCAACGGAGTTTCGCCTCCGTTTGGGTTATTGTTTCCGAAGATGATTCGTTTGCTACATAATTTGTTGGAAAAGTGTTTAGGTGATGAAAATCAAATAAAGTTTTTTATCAGACGTGAAAAGGCTTACTCGGGTTTGTGTGTATTATTCCCAGTCGCTATAACCGTAGGCCAGGCTAAAACAAACAGCTACCAGTTAAAATCGAAAAAGAACATCGTGTTGAATAAATGATGGTTTTAGTTAAATAGATCTTCTTGCAAACTACAAAAAAAGCAAATAGGAAATTTCATTGATATCTAAGTAAAGAAAATTACTGAGTAAATACAAATACTTCAGTCTAGCTAACAAATTTTACGCAGTTACGAAGTTGTGCCCCGCGATCTGTACTATCAACGAACTAACAGTGGAATTCAACTACGGAAAATAAGCCCGAATTCGATGCAACAAGTTGATTACACATTGCAAAATGAAATCGCAAATAAAACGCAGATCCCATCGTGGAGAAATAAAGTTCACCCTGGGAAGCAAACCCAAGGAGAGACAGGTGTGCGTCTTGGACATCTAGGGTCACATTCTTCAATTCACATATTTCGAACAAGGCATTAATCACCTGCCACTTAAATGTCCTGGATTTGCCCTAAGAAATCACAGAAATCAGTTTGCCTTAATCCGGGTCGCAGCCAATGGTATCAAGGGAAACAGATAATGGCTTCACATTCAAATTTGGCCCCACGGTCCATGCATTTGTACCAACAGTTTAAAAAGCCAGGATACGCACCTGAGAAGGAACCACACAGAGACAAGTTTATCTCCGAAACGACAAAGTCACTGGACTCTTTTTGTTCACACCAGTAGCGCTACTTCACAAACACTGATAGGCGATCGAAATTCCGCTTGTTTCGTGGTAATAACATTTAATTTGTTTGTCAACACAGAATTTACCAAATGAATATGGTGTACCTATAATGCGGAACAAAAGCTGCAGCAGTATTATTTCAGAAAGGCAAGCACGTGTCCAGGGTACATTAAACCCCTGTGCACGAAATTCCAACGCCGCATTTTGCACAACATTCAGACATGACTCAAACAAGGTTGGTGTAAAAGGAGTTTACACTCTGTATACCTTGGGTCGTGTGGGAAAATTCCTACCTGTTACCTTGCCTGACGCGAAGGCACTCGTTCCGCCCATGGTGTTCCCTGGGCCATTCGAGGCGGCAGCAGTTAGAGCCTCAGAGAGCAGCAATTGGGAGAGATTTGCCTGCATTGAATGGCGCAAAGCCTCCAACTTAGAGGTGCTTGGAAGAAACCCAAAGGATGCGTCCTCGCGCACTACCCTACCGATCCACCAGTTCTGATCAAAACGGCGTTTGATTTGCAGGAATTCCTTCGCACAAAAACTGACCACCTTCGTGGGGATGGGGGCGTCTAAGCCGTTAAGTAGGCCATCAAATTCCACGTTTGTGCGCACACAAAATGCCACTGGCGCATTCTGAAAGACGGGGAAAACGGGAAATCCGCTTCGTGATATCCAAAATCTGATAATCATGGTGTAAATTACATGCTTTTAGTAACGTTGATAGGCAAAGCTACTGATTGCATATTTTTATTCTTTGCGTATTCGTGCAACTCACAGGCTGATTTAGCTATCGAGTGCATCGCTTGTGACAGTCCGAGGGAAAGGCATTAAAGCCAACAAAAAAGGTCGAGTGACACCCGTTTGCCTCTCGCAACAATTTGACCAAATTGAGTGACTCACCAGACGGAAGTTAATTTGTTTGAAAATGACGTGGATCCTTCTGATGACAATCATAAAGTTCAGAGTTAGCATTTCACAATCAATCAAACTAGTCAATGTGTCATTCAAGTGAACGTTTGATAAGTAATACAAGAGATTTCGAGCTGAGATTCGGACTAGGAATCTCGAACCTAAGAGCTGAACTACTAAACTCGGTTGAAAGTTAGCGCAACTTGCTTGATTACTTGATAATCTCTTGAGCTAAATATGGTCATCAACGAGTCAACAACTGTCGATCTGGCAGCAAAAAACCGCAGACGCTGATGTTTGGCTAATCCAACCCTAATATGGATTTTAAAAGTCAATTTGATACCTTTCCACAAAGCATTAAGTTTTTGGCATTGTTACCTCTGCAATTTCTAACTCAATAAGAGCTCGATGCTCCTGTTCACGAAGCTCCGCTCTAAGCAACAATTCGTCTTCGTCAGAGGATTCACCAGAACTCTCAGAGTAGTCCTCCTTAAAAAAGGTGAACAAAAAAACATGAGACTTTAGTGCCCTATGACTTTAATATAATTTTGCAGTAACATGATGCAGCAAAAATACGCCAGATTTCCCTTTCATCAAACCGTCATAAACCGACGTAAGCCATGAGAATTATGCTACAACAAGATTAGAATTTATAGCGGTTACAGTAGGTTACCTTATCCTTTTTTCTCGATCAATACATTGAGTTGAATGCAAAAAGGTTTTTTAAAGTTAACAAAAACGCAGAGCAGTCTCAGGGAAAATGTCATTGATTTTCCAAGCTCAAAACGTCAATGGGTTGGGAGAATAGAAAAAAACACTGGCTGATGCTTAAAGCTGCTCGAGGTCTCTGTTGAGGACGTCCCAACCAAGTTTCGAGAGAGAGATAACATTGGAAACGACTTGCTAGTTTTTACGCTCGCTAAACAGTTCGAGTAGAATAAATTACTAAGGAATGCTCCAGCAAATTTTTCTGCATGGGTACACCTAACAGAAAAAAGCACAACTTTAAATCAGTAAAGGGCAGGTCGGTCACCAAGATCGAAGGTATAACCGAAAAACCAAGCGATCTTCCGCCTTGTTCGAAAACAAATCGATTGCTTACGTTTCCTTTACCACCCCATCCCTACTAAATTTATGTGCGAAATCCGCCCAATCAAGTTTTCATCTCAAGACCAAAGGTGTTACAACTGCCCCAACCCCCTTAACCTGGGATCACAAGAGCCTAGGAAGCACAAGCACATTCAGACGCGAACGGCTAACCTTCCTGCATTGCTGGTGCACACGTACTGTTCGCTGGTTGGCTGGCTACAACGACGATCAATAAATGTGTGTCGGGACGCGTGGAACGCTTCGGATGCAGATATTTGTCCAAAAATATTTAGCTGTACGCGTTAAAGTATGCCAAAATCATAAGGGAGTTCGAATTAACTGATCAAGCATTTAATCAAAATTTAAACACATTTAAACCTCAAATCGTATAAAATCCAGCGACAAATGCGTTGATTTGTGGGTGGAGTACTGAATTCAAATTAAAATTACCACAGTCTAAATTGGACAAATTAATTGTGAAATAAAGTATTAATACGATACCTGAAATGTAATGTCAAGCAGACTAAGGAACAACACACAACAAAAAAATGATGTAAGACAAATCGGGTTCAGTCAGAACAACTGCCTGATCTAATAAGAGAGACATGCATAGTCCTGCCTCCGGTTAAAGTGTATTTTTTCGAGAATTCATGAAAAACAGAAAAAATCACATAATTGCAGCGGCGATCCGTTATATTAAAGACCTTTAGTAAGCAAACGCTTCAGGTGTGGAAAATACATTTAAAATATGCTGATTGCTTACATTTTACATCAACACGACCAGAATAAGGAAGCCTAACCATAACGGATGTTCAGGAGTGAAAACGAAAGCCAAATTAATTGCGAATAAAGAATATAGGAAACTTCGTTTGGCATTATATTCTAACCAGTAAATGAAGAAACTGACTAGGCTGAAAGTCAAGTACACTGAAATACTTGAAACTAATGGAGGGAGGAGCCATTGTGCCGCTGTTATATTTCTTATCCACATTTCATTTTGTAAAAAAATTTATAATAGTTTAGAGGCGACGGAGTTTATTAATTACCAGAAAACTTTATATGACTTTGAAAATAAAGGCATTAAAGGTCAGGAGGGGCGGATACTAGTCATCCTTCTCGAGTTATTGATGCAACGGTAGAACCAAAGAGTGGGTGAAAGAAACCATGCATTACGTAGTGTAGTGCGGTTGCCAATGCGCCTACGAGTGTCATATTGTCCAAAGACTAGCATTTTAGCTTAAATTGTAATCTGGTTTTAATTTGGCTAATACTACTCCGGTACTGAGATAAGTGCTGGAATTACATAGTTTTAGTTTATAATTACTTAGACATAAATTAAGTCTTCTAACGGCACGTAAAGAGTTTCCTAAAACCATTAAAAGAATTACGATACTTGTGCAGTCCCTGAGTGGTGAAATATGAAATCTACATTTTGTTTTTACCTGCATATGGTAGACGAATTTGTGTCAAATAAAAATAAAATAACCAAATACCGTTTCCAGAAGTGTGTATGATGAACGAACTACGTGTTAATAGCTAGATTTTGGTCAAAATTACCTCGTCCATACAAGCATCACTCCAATAGTCTAATGAGTTATCTTCAACATCATGCAAAACATTTTCCATATGATAGTTAAACGCGAAATACCGAGTGGTTAAAAACGTGGCATGTAGGATAAAGCCAGTCACAATTTTGTGACGATGAGTTTATATTTTGACATCGTCTGACATTCAAATTTTCTGGAAAAAACAGCATAACTGTAGGAATTTACTTCTAAAAAACATATGGAAGAAGCATAGTTTTGGTCATCAATGAAAAATGTGTGCATAAACCTACATTTTACACCACCAAGCCATATTTTATGCGAATGTAACTCAATAATACTAAACTGTTGTTTGCAGAAAGCAAGAGGGTCAGCAAAATCCAATATATTATTTACCAAGTTTACAGCAGTACTAAATAATTATCATTTTGTTTACTATTTGAAAACTATTATTTTATTTCCCTACGTAATTTGGTAATCATTAAGCAGAGCATGAAGGAACTTGAATTTAAAGGTAGGTCAGAGCCTGCCGTCGAACATTGGCAACAGACATGAAAAGCACAACAGCTGAGTTCCAGGATATCTTAAAGTGTTAAGCGTGCAATTTATTTTTTTTTAAAAACGGCAAACATACTTCTCTATCAGGACATAAACACGAATTATTGGTGAAATCTAAAACACGTATGCTTTATGTTTTAAACCCACATTAAGCAAGATAAAGTGTTTTTGAGAGGTTAGAAACCCACGTTTGATTTTATAATGGCGAAAATGACAAACATTTTAATGTCTCACGTGAGCGCAAACAAAAAAGACGTCATAGACTCCAAAACAAAACGGCCAGTCAAAGATGACTAGCTAGAATTTTGTTTAAACAAGCCCAAGTACAATGATTCTGTACAAGTACAAGTACAATGATTCTGTACTCAGTTTTTTGATTGTGTGTTAATTTCACATACATAATGTTTGTAGGACCTTCTTCATTATTAACATCGTAAAAAATTTTGAAGTACTATTTCAAAGGCTTGTATACATGAAAGAAAAGGCCAGCTTATTAAATGAAAGATATTTTACCAGTCCGTTAATATAATTTGATGTGTGAAATGTAAAACATCTAATAAGCTGAGTTGTTCTGAGGAAAACAAGATTACCCCAGAATGCGCAAAAATATCGGTATTTATCAGTCACTGACATTTTCTAAAAGCGAAAGTTTCCCATACCAGGACCAAACAAAAAGACAAGGCAAACGCATGAGACTGTAACAATATTTTCTAATATTGATAGACTTTTTTGCACATCCAAGGAAGCGGTTGATTCCAGTAGTTGAGGTAGATGAAATATGTAAATTTTCAAAAACCGCTTGGAAACACATTCACTGCTGTTTCTACTAAAAAATCAACTTGATGGTCAAATGCATTAACTTCAATCATTTGCATTGCATTTAAATAATTGGACAGAAATAATGTAATTTTTTGAATGTCCTAACATCACAAAATGCTAAGCTGAACAAAGAAATTAAACCTACATGTACGACTAAGTTAGTCCAAAAAACTGCTATAATGTACGCAGAGATATTAATTCAGAGAAAACTAAGTTCTGCTAAAGTCATTCCAAGCTACTAAAATTTACAGCCAGTTCAGAAAACAGAAAAGGCAACATTAGTCAAAAACGACATAAATAGAACCAAAAAAGACACCCAAAGACAAAAAACTGAATTAATTGAAAGTTTTGAATATTCCGAGGAAAAGGGTGAGAATCATCATGAAACTTCAAGAAAAACATAACTCGTTTTATTAAGGTAACCAGTCATTAATTATTAAATCTACGTACAGCATCACCATAGAAACTTGCTCTATTCATTTTCTTGATTTATAACGGGTTTTCATGAAATTCAAACTAGCCTCCTAGGTTTTAAGGTCATCAATAATACTAATTAAGCTGAATGTTGGAAAAGGCTCGAAGAAGTAAGGTCATTTCAAAACTAGAATTAGAATTAATTAGAATTCATGCAATGTTATTAATAACTAATATTGTTTAATTGCACAGCCAAGTCCTGAGTCCTGTAAATTGGACTTGGTCATTTCCTTAATAATTGATATTTATTTTATTAAACAAACGTCGTCCTTTTTTTCACTTAAACCAAAATAGGGAGAATCTAAAAACATGACTTGCATGCTCCATCCTCTTAAAGGTATAACATAAATTTGTTTATTTATGTAATATAACACATACAAAGAAAACTTATTGATGCAGAAATTTTATTATGGTGTGCTTCCCTACATTACATTGTGATTTTTTAACCATAAAAAGGGCAAACTGTCTAAAGTCCTTCCGAAAAATTCAGGCAGACAGAGGGGTTTTTTTTATTTTAAACACTATTACTAAATGAAAGTTTGCTTCAAGTTTGGAATGATAAATGAAGCACTGAAGTCTTCTTTGATTCTGAATCAGTGGTTTATGTAATTTTTTTGTGTGATCTTTTGTAAATAATAAGAAAATAATAACAAAAAAATTGACAATAAAAGTATTCTTGGGTGGTGTCGCTCATAATAATAAAAAAATTAAACCGAAATATTACACTGTAGTGTGCAGATAGTCACATCGCTTAAGTGACGGATGTATGATGGCCCGACTGTAACAATGACTAACTCTTTTTTGCTATTGGCTCTTGTTAGCAGTCGCCTCTTATGTATGCCTACTCGTGCGCACACAAAGCCACTTGGCTTATGTGACACTAATACACGGTCGTGCTCTCTGTCGCCAGTTTTCCTGTTCTCCCCTTGGGTTTTATCAAACTGTTTACTAAAGGGTTGTAAGGCAGTGCTAAACCAAGCTACTTTAACACCATTTGTGAAAGTAGGCATTTGGCTTGTACTCTACATACAGCCAATGACAGAGATGGACAAACTCAAATTCTTCGAATTGCTCTTGTGTTTAATGGTGAAAAAGAATAAGGGACTTTCTTTAGCTTTTCGAGTGTAGTAAATTCGCTGATGCAAATTAACCGCAGTCAATCTCAATTTAGAAGTAAATGAAGTGCAGAAGAAAATATGCTTCGATTTTTTTATTGAATGAATACTCAACTTGAAAAAAACTACTTGCTAATCAATTGAAAAAAATTTGTGCCTTTTTACTGTTCATGACTATTCTCACGAATGCAGTTATTGCATTAAAAATTTTTGAGTCTTAAAATTTATGATTTTTAAGCCCTATTCAAAGAAGTTTCGATAGGTATCCTTTAAAGTAAATCTGTTATATATATAGGCGTATGTAAATATGTGCAAGATCACTGCTTTTGAATTGTTCAGCATTTCGTGTGTTTATATTAATAAAGTCCTCCCCATTAAGTTGTTGACCTTAGGACGAATTTGAATATGTGCAACAGCTACTGAAATTTGGTGAAAAGTTATGTTTAAACAGGATAAAGATACAAGCCGTCCTCGCGAAACATTGCCGGTTCTATCTGGGCTTAATTTTCCGATTGATGACGTCGAACCGCAATCCCTAAAATGGGTATATACCCATTGGGCCAAGTTAGTTCTGTGATTTTTTTGCAGCGTCTGTCTCACTCTATTGCCATTAAGTTGTTTTGTATTTTTTGTCGTTATGTGCAAATATCTAATGGGTGTATTACTTTCTAATGTTTTCAATTTTGTCTACCACTTGTTATCGTATGGAATCATTGTTAAGAAACCCACCGTTAAAATAATAAACCAGAAACTTTTAACTTTAGGCTTTGATAATTTTACATTTATCTGTGCTGCCTGCTGTTTTGAAATAACCCAATTGTGGTATGTTGTCAAGCATGCTGTTTAGTATATATAACGCAAGTATCTGTCGGTTAACACCACGTTTAAAATATGAGTTAATTTTACTGTTTGATTTTATGGACAAAAAGGACTGTTTAAATACACAATTGCTATGAATGAAAAACTGTATTTAAGTATCAGTGGCTTGTCATATATTTTCCCAATGCTATTCATCGCATACTTAACAAATATTTACGCCTGCCTCATATGGACGGTCTGACGAATTTCCTGATTTGCCTTGCAGTCTAAAAGAGGGAGGTGTCTCCTTAGAAGTTGCTTACGCCTCTAACACTTTAAATTGGTAAATTTAGTTTAACATAACGTGTGTCGAAAATGGTTTTATGGACTTGGGACGACGCATATTTCCCTATATTCGATTTGAATATATAGTCGTCGGCATGTTTTCTATAACCAAAACAAACAGATGATCTGATGCGATCAGCACAAGGGTCGAAATCTCCCATAATTATCAGAAAACACTTGTAATGTTTTGATTCTCATCATATGGCATTCTAATATTCACCTTGAGTGCTCTTGACAGATTTACTAGTTTATGTCTTGGCCATATATTTTAGTATTCTTTTTCACGACTAGATTTCCATACTAAAGTCAAATCAGGAGAAACTTTCTTCTAAAAATAGAAACAATGTAGTTTTACAAGTTGGCGTTTACATGAAATAACTGAAATCGTGTTTATCAAAGGGCTTATAAAAATGTCCAGGTAGCTGTACAAACATTTGAAATAACATTTGGAATGCCTTAGCAAGAATAGCATCCGTGATAATCATGCGACTAAAACAACTATATTAACTTGTGTTTTCCTCGAAAGGGCAAAAAGTATTACTTAAAGCAAGTGAAAACATATCTTAAGCTTTGGTCCTGATTTTTAAATTGAGTCAAATATCTGAATCTTATTTATCACAGAATGTGTTTATCAGCTGCCTTTTGAAGTATTTTATCCCCTTAAAATTTTTGTTCCAACGTTTTGGTAGTTAATACTTTTAAAGCCCACAAGCACTTTTAAATGTTTTAGAATGCTGCTGAGGTCCGCTGCGCTGATAAGCCTGATTTCTGTAAGCGCAAATACCCCAAAGACGTTTGGTTATGTGCCATCGTTAATGTATGTGACGTTTGCAGTTGACATTATGGTAGCCTGTCTATTGACGGTTGAAATGGTCACAAAGATGTGTATCCAGGGATTGACTGCCCCGTCTACGAACCAGGTACTTTTAGTCAAATAATGTAGTTGTTTTGTAAATTTTACAGGTATAAGCATTTAAGAGAACAATTTGCACTAATGAATGATTGCATATTAAATCTAGTGAAAGCTGTGTCATGAACCAAGAAAGATATGAGTGCTTAAACATAGTTTCCATTAGCTCGTTCTGTTAAAATTTTTATAGTTTTGAGAGATTGATTTCAGACCGTAATTTGCTTAATACAGGATCTAAATCAGCTAATCAAAAAGCAGATTGCAGCTAAGGTAAGATCATCAGTCACAATGTGCTCGGACGTTATTTAATTTTTCAGTTAGCACCAAATCTTCACCTTGTTTTATTAGATAACTTAGAATTCTTCATGTTTTTTACTGTAAAGTGTCCTTTCTTTTGCTTTGCGCACTCAAGTTATTATTTGGATCCTACGTTGAATTATCACACCTCTCATTTGTATTCTTTATTTAGCAGTTTTTGCATGTGGCTTTGCTCTTATTGTCGCAAGACCATAGGCAGTTTGTTGAGTGCTGTTGCAGATAGGGACCTGGGTTGACAACTTAGACAGTTTTGGTTCCCCGTACTTTCGGACATTACCGAGATTTTTAGTGTCTGTAGCCTCAGTTAGACCTAGACGCCTTAACAATAAGTTTTTGTGAAGAAACTTTATTATTAAGTAACATTTTTAGCAAATTTTGTGCGGTTTTAGCAAATCTGCACTTATTATACAAAATGTTTTCATTTGGGTTGTCCACCGTAGGCTTCAACTGGCATTCATCATTTTCCAATTTCTGGTCAATCATAAGTTATAAGTTTGGGCATTTCAATTAATACTAACACAAAAATGTTTAATAGATTCTCGTGCTAGTAGAACGCTCCAGTTGAGAAACTAGCTTATGATACTACTGAGTTATGTAAGTTAACAGACATTGGATAGCAAGAAATATTTAAGTATATGCACAATTTTCTTGCAAGTTTGCGTCAAGAATTGCTAGAAAATCAGTGCTGGTCCAACTCACAGGACTATTTTTATGATGCTTTGATTTTTACAGTGGCACTCGAACCGGCCTTTGTTTGTTGCATGCGCGCCTTTAAACCTTCCAAGTTGTCCCTCTCTAACCTCCCCTTGTGTGTATTGCCTTCTGCCACTCTCAGTCAATGAGTGTTAACGTGGACTCGTCTTCACGGCGAAACCGTGCGTACTTTCAGCAGTCGTGGAATTGTTTCGACGCCTTCATGGTCTTTTGCCTGTGGGCCTCAATTGTGCTTCAGTGTTTTGAATTGCGTGCAACTTGGAAGGCAGGAGAGGAGGAACAGAAATTTTGGCGACAGTACGGATGGCTAAGCGTGGTGAGGTGTCCTCGGCCCCTCATCCTCATTCGCGTCTTCCGAGCTGTGCTTAAGTTGCAGCTGCCGCCCTCTCGTGTGAATGCCATCTTCCAGTAAGTGATGCTAGTAGACTACGCTAAGTTTATACACTTCCATTTCTTGTTTCGCACAAACCGGGTGGACTTAAGTAGTATTGGTACTATGATAGTGGCGAATTCGGGCGAAACTGGCGAATCAATCTACTCACTTAATCATGCAGATTATTTGGAGGCAGCAAGGCGGTTGCTGATATAAATTTCAATGCTTCAAGGGTTAAAGACAAACAGGACAAGGAACTTGAGGTTTAAACTTTACAGCTTGACCTCTGAGTTCCATGTATACACTAAAAATTTTGCCGCTTTTTTGAATTAAAATTTCCATTAATGTAAGCAACATTCACTGACCTTAGTGAAGAACTGCTACACGCCAATAATGACTTGGATTGTTGATCAACGTCCCTATTAAAGATTAATGAATGTATGTTTGTTTCCGTTCCCAAAAATGGTTTGCGTCCTTTGAATCTACTTGCATATTACTAAAACCAGTTTAAAAAGGACTTATGAGTTATAGGCTGCAAAATTACGTGGCTTCTAGTATCAGAATAGTAGAATAGACACCATAAATAATTGAAAATAATTTTTTAATAAGTTCAAATCAGTTTGTACGTGCATTTGAACAGGGTTTTCTTTTTGTAGGCGATCAACCCACCAAATTTATAATGTGAGCGTCTTCCTACTTTTCTTCATGTCACTCTACGGACTTCTTGGTGTGCAATTCTTCGGTGATGAATTGAATTACCACTGCGTCTCAAAAACCGCTAACGAAAGGTAGGCGTTTAGCAATTTGCAGTTTATGGAGCGCTGGTTTGAGAGTAATACACCTGGTAGTACCAGCACATATTCATATTTTTAAAGAAGGTCTTATATGGGATAATTGATGGCACAGTTTTCCTAACTTCAGCAATCTCTTGAAGTCGGACCTGGCCATACCCGATTCTTACTGCGACCCTTTCGCTCCAGAGATGGATAGTCAATGCCCCAAGAATATGAAGTGCGTCAGAGCAAGGACCTCAATAGCCGATGAGGGCAGCTACGCGAGCTTTGAAGCATTTCGTACGTTCAGTCTACTGACGTATATCAGCGAGACAAATTTGGAGAGACATACTGACACACTGATGGACACTTAGCTGCCAGTCTCAATCTAGCGTTGCGTCTCTGTCTGTAGATTTCAATTCCAATGGTTTAGACATTAAAGGTTCTTAAGTGAAGTTTTGATTCCTTCGAATTTGCAACCTCCCATACGGTTGTAAATTGCTCTTTGCCAGAAGTCTTTAGCGGGATGGAAGACTAATGGGTTTCGGTACACTTTTAGTGTTTTCTTTTGGACCTCACTTTATTATTCATCGTAATAAAAACAAACTTTAGGACTTATTGGTCGTGTCGGTTGTTTGCAGACATCAGTATCTTCACGGTATATCAAGCGTCATCTCAGGAAGGCTGGGTTTTTATAATGTACAGAGCGATGGATTGTCTCGCTCCCTGGAAAGGCGTCGCCTACTTCATCACCATGATTTTCATGTTAGCTTGGCTCGTTAAGGTACGATATTAGTTTGAATTACCTGAAAACAGTAGTATTCCAGCAGCTAAATATCTGCGTTCATTTGTTTTGCAGAATGTTTTCATTGCTGTGCTGACTGAAACTTTTGCCGAAATCCGTGTCCAATTCCAGCAAATGTGGTCGCCACGAATTGCAACTGATACCGACTTTTCAAAGGCATGTCATGTACCAGCAATTAAACTTTTGCACATTTCGCACATAATTTTAAAGTAACAAGGTTTATTTAAAATAGGAGAAACAAAGTCCACAAAATGACTCAATTTACTCGCAATTGTTAGTTTTAATTTCTATCCTACCCTAATCTTCAGTAGAATAAGGTTTTTATTTTAAATGGTAATTTCAGTCAAAACATGTTATGCGGTGATAAGAGAAACCATCTAATTTACATTTGTGGTCGCTACCTTCTACTTGTAGCAAATAAATACTGATCCAAATAAAATTATTCGACATTGTTAACGTGTACACTTTAGCATGGCAGCAAATGTACCAGCTCTTCTCCAAAGTGCCATAAATTTGTTAAATAATTTTTTTAAAATACAATGTACTAATCCCTGCTTTTATTCGTAAATGTGTTAGTTCTTACATTAGTGAGGGTTAAGTCTTAGAATCGAACCAGTTAGTTTGTTTGTTAGTTTGTTTCATCGAAGATGCTTCCCTCCGCTTGATCAGTTCATGTTAGCTTGACTCGAACGGGTATTAAGTCTATCTATTCTCGTTCCCGAGTGCTTGGTTGAATAGGGCGTTGAGTGTTTTAATAACAAAATAAAAATGAGGCGAAATTAATAAGATATTTCACAAAGATCTTAAGTGTGAGGTCGCTGCGTTAGTCAGACCCGATGTCAGGCCTGCTCGCGACTTTCCTTCAGTCGCGATATGCTTAGTTGTGCTGTTAAACACATGAGACAATATTAGAAAAGACCACGCGTTTAATGTATTGATTTACTTTCTTCCTCGCACGATAGGGATTTGTGAACAATTTGAATCTCCCGTCTATCATCTATTTCTTACACATTTTGCAGATTTTCCAATTTGATGGGATCTCGTGGAAGTTAGTACCCGTGCATGAAAGCAAATCCCGCGGCTTAGCTCCTCGATTTGTCGAAGAAGTGCGCTAGAGTTTACTTCATGCCATTTTTTTCCTAAAGGCACTTATTACGAGAAGTTCTATTATTTGTAGACGCTTCTCAAGTCTACAGGCTTTAACATTTTCATAATGCTCTTGGTTTTGGCCAATGCAATTACAGCCGCAGGACAGCACTTCAATCACCATCGTGTACGACATGATGAATTTGACGGAAATGTTCAAATGGACGGATTCTACTTCGCCGAGGTGAGCTCACACGTATACTTTAAAATTTTCCATTATTTTTGGTTACCTACAGTAATGCGAAGCTTCGTCAAAAGCATGTTCCCCAAAGCATGCAAAATCAAAATCATGGGATGGTAATTTGCACCAAACAGTGGACCCAGAGGCCGATGATATTGAACTTGCGGACGTGTGTTTCTAAAACTGAAAACAGGTAATTAGGAAACTTAGGCAAGAACGGGGGTCGTTTCAAACTGATGCCTGAAGTAGTGGGGGAAATTACAATTGCCACAAACCTTATGTGACAGGGTACAACACGAAATACTAAAATGTGCCAACTAAGGCCGTTTATTCAAGGTTTGAGTGCATGCATGCGGTCTTGTCCTTTTGTGAACCAATTAGAGTGACGAACACGAACTCATACTACTTACGACACTATCCAATTCGGATTGTGAGTTTGAATGAAGCCCAGGCAGGGAGTAGAGTTCTTAGGTGGTTCATTAATTTCCTGTCAAACCCAAAGATGTCTATCCCTTTCCAGTATAAATACCCTTTAAATTTAGCTTTGGAAGAGTTTAAAAACCACCCTTAGGTCAAAGTGATTCTAAGCGTTGGTTTTTCTAAGGAAAGAAACTGGTCTACAATCAATAGGGGTCAATACTAACGTTGCGAAACACTAACATTCATCCAACAAATGATAGAAGCAAGACTTAAACGCATTTTTTCCTTTCTAGTTGAGTTTTACGATTGTTTTTAATCTGGAGGCCGCATTTAAGATATGGTGCCTTGGATGGCGGGCTTACTGGTCACGATCGCTGTTCAAGTTTGAGCTGATGCTCTGCATTGGCACCACCCTCCACTGCATTCCTCAACTCTACCGGACTGAATTCACCTACCTCTCAGTGAGTCTACGTACCTACATTGCCTGATTTTTATGTTCATTTAGATTTGATTTAGTTATAAAGACTTTAAATGCGTTCATCGGTTTTGTAGAAGCATGCGTCATTGTTCTTTGCTTGTCTGCCTACATGGAAGACATAAAATGTGCCATTGAAATCGACGTCTGCAGTCTAATTTTTGTGTGTGAAGGAAGCAGCCTTTTGTAGATAAAGCCATCAAAATGGTTCTTCTGTGCTTCTTCTGATGGTCGTGGTTTGACTACTCTGATTATTTTAGAGACTGAAGTTTTTAGTTTTTTTGCTTTCACACCGAAGCTGTAATTTTAGTGGCTGTAAAATTTGATCTCTATCTATTGATCTTTAAAATGAATGCAGCGCGTACGATTAATACAGCAACCTTCAACCTACCTCCTCGTTAGCAGTCAAAAATACTCGTTCTCCAGAAGACCTGGGGTAATCCAATGTACAATTTTTAGGTCATGCGGATTGTGCGATTGATCAAAGCCTCGCCAATGCTGGAAGACTTCTGTTTCAAGGTATGACTATATGGACGCTATCCGAAAAACCAAAGTCTTTTAATCCAATCGGGGAATTTTCCGCCAAGGTCCATTAATTACTTTATGGTAGCGTTTCGGAAGACATTCATCGGCATTTCTAATTTAATGGCACAGGTGGAGGATTGTTGCGACAGAAGTCTGCACCAAGAAGCCATAAAAAGAATTTTTGTTTTTTAAAAACAATACTTATAAAAATGGTGTTCTATGATATAAATTAGAAACAATTTCTTCAGCATAATGTCTCTTTTTAGCAATGTATAGTGACATCGTTATTAACATTGCCCTAAAGCCACAACATTCATTTACTGATAACCAATGCATTTATAATGTACAGCAAGTCTTATTCATTCCATCAGGCGCTAATTATCTTCCTGGCACATTTTTTCTCCTTTCAACATTTTTTTAGATTTTCGGACCTGGAAAGAAACTAGGAAGTCTGGTGTTATTTACTACCTGCTTACTAGTCATTACGTCCACGTTTAGTCTGCAGTTGTTCTGCTTCTTCCAAGCCTTCGATAAGGATTTCGACCGTTTTGAAACTTTCCCTAAAGTATGTCAGTAATATATATATATATATATATATATATATATATATATATATATATGTATGTATCAA